AGGTTGACTTTTGTTGAAGGGGCTTGCTGTGACTCCTTTGGGAATGCTTTCCTTTATGATTCTTCAACAGGCTCTATTTGCCATTGCTCTCAAAGCTGATGGAGGAAGCAGGAGTAGAGGAATGGTGTGCCAAGATGATAGTGGTCTGCAAGTGACTGCGGGTGATGTGAAGAAAGGCAGGAAAAGGATATCAGAGGAGATAACAGTACGTAGGATCCAACATTAGACAGGGTATCAACAGGTTTGGGGTAGGGAAGTCTTCATCTGTATCGAAATAGTTACAATTCCAAAAATTTTCTGTTAAAACTAAGAGATTTGAGATGCTTGTATAATGGTTGATGACAGAGAAAAATGACTTTGTTGAACTTGTCTGAATATTGATCTAGAGTAGGATTTTTTAAAGTTATGTGATGTTGAGCTAAATCTTCTCCCAATGTAATTAAAACTAGTGACCACAGCGAAATTTGATCTACTCTATATCCATTCAAAACAAAATTGAAACCTGCCTTCCTTCTGCTCTTGTTCCCTGGTGGATTCCTGTGTTTGTACCCTCATTTTCAACAGAGCTGTTCTGTATGAGTAGGGAGACTGACAAGGTGTAATAAAAAAGGTAAATTGACTCTTTTGCTTGCAAGACCACTTTCTGGGTCCTTTCTTTGAGCATTAACCAAAATCCATATGGTATGCTTGGGCAGGTGAGCTTCTGAGTCACAGAATAATGTCATTATTGTTTACTTCAATCCACTTTGATCAACCTTATTTGATCAGCTGTGCAATTAAAGGTAGACACTTGATTAAGTATCGCTCAGGAGTACAAAGGAGGTAAAGAAAGCAATTCAGATGAGATGGTCCCAGATAGCAGGGTCAGTGGATCAAATGGGAAGGTGAGGAAGAACTTTTTAATGAAGGCTTTCAGAATAATGTTAGTTGCTTAAGTCTTGAATTACTCATTGGGATGGTTCTTGTTAACTACATTTTCATGTTGTATAGACACATATTTATTAAAATTTTAAGTACTATATTGCTGTAGGAAACCCATAATTAATTGATTAATTTCTTTATTTCTTTAACGCAAGAACATTATTAGGAAAGGACAGGCCAGTAGTTACACAGCATTGGGTTGGGACTTGGGAGTTTCTACTTCCCTTCCCAGCTCAGTCACAGGTTCACTCTATGGAAACTTAGCTTCTTTGCTGCTTATACCTACCCACTAAGGCTGATCATCCTTCATTTCTTAGCATACACAGCCAGAGCAGGATTCAGGCCTTATCATAGGTAAATAATATGGTTTTAAAAGCACAGTACTGGATGGGCAGTAGAGGAAGGGGCTCAGGTGAAGCAATCCCTGCTGGCATATGCTTGGGTCAAATCAAAAGGTGAAAAAAAAATTCAGTTAGCACAATGGTCTTATCCTTCTCTATTTCCCTGTACAAAGTTCTTGTGTTGTAGGTACTGGCAACAGATATTTGCATCTTCTAGTCATGAAAGAAAAATTTTGTAAAAGGATTGGATTGTGCAGTGTTGTATGGTGCATACAGATTATTAATACTTGCAATTTATGTGTGCTTAATTACCTCTCCCCATGCTGTACTGTACCTGGGTAACTACCATCCCTTGAATAAAACTGCTAAGCATATCAGGAAAGAAGACACTTTCTGTAAAGTACAGAGGACTGTTTATGGAAGCTTGCAATTCAGGAACATTTCCATTTTCACTTTGAAGCTGTATAAAGCTGCATCCTGCAGACCACAGATTTTCAAATTGTGTATCACTGTTACCAAGGGAGGTGCCGTGGAATCAAACCGATAAAAAATTATCCTGTCTTCATTAACCTCAATAAGAACTAAAGCGATGCTAAAGGTCATTGAAAGTAACTTTTTATTTTCATGCCATCTAATCTCAATGACAAAGTTTGATGTGTCATTTTTATTTTACAGATGAGGAAACTGAAGCCTATCAGTGTTAGTGATGTTCCCAAGGTCAAAACTGAGCTGCTTAGCAGAGATAGCCATCTATCCTTAAATTTCAGTCCATTGGTTCTCTCATCGGGTAGTCCATCCCAATCTGAAATCATTTCAGTATCTTGAAAAGTACTTGGGCAATGGAAAATATATTGGAGATCTATAAAGTCAATAAGAGTACTTTTTCATCTATTTTGGGGGTTAGAAGGAAAATAAAACAGAGTAAAAAAATATTTTTTCACAGTACCTCTGCTGGAAATCATCAAGATATTAAATCTCAGTAAGCTCTTTCGTTACTAATATTAATATTGCAGAAACATTCAAGTCTGAAAAGAAAGTCCACAGTAAAGATGTTACATGTAGAAATAATGAAAAACAGGCCTTCTTTTGAAAGATTCTGGGGCCTACATAACGGGTATTTATGCTAAAGCAACCTGTCTACTCTCCTGCTCCTTTTACAGGAGGTCTCAAGTCTTCTATAGGTCTTGTGTCATACCTGCCAACCTGCACACACTGAAGCAGCAGTAGGAGATTCAGTTGTTGGTGCACCATACATGTAACACACCTGCTACATTTACTGTATAATTTGCAACTGGCATTGAAACTGAAAAATGATGAGTGTTCGCTATCGGTGATTGCCATTGGTATAGTAATTTTTTTAAAAACTCTTGTCCCTGCTCTCTACTTAGTTCATATGAGTAATACTAATTCAGATGAAAAAAAAAGTTCCATGAGCAGAATTTCCTTCTTCTTGTGAATGTTTTTTTTCACTGTATATAGACTATATTTCATCCTCATTTCACAGTCCCCTTCTAAACCATTGAATTTTTTCTTTCTGACAGCACAGTGGAAGAGATTCTTCAATAAGTATTGAGAGGATGGGATAACCACTGTGTGCAGATTGCACCTTTATTCTTCACTGTATATGTCATCCAGACTAGAAAAATCATAGTTCACCAGACATGCATATATCTTCAATCTTAACATTCTCCCTGCACTCTGACTGCCTGATCCTTCCCAAAGACTTCTGCGTAACTCAAAACTATCAGTGAGGGAATGGAAGGGAAGGCAATGTCCATTTTCTTCCTAATTCCATACTCCATTTCCTTCACATTGCTGCTAGGTTAATATACTTGTGATCTATATACCTTACACTTGCAAATCTTTGTGTAACTTATAATAGGTATATAGAGATAAAGATTTTTTTATATTTGAAGTAACCTGTGTGTCTGTGAGCTGTAATCCCAGAACAGCTATTATTGTTGCTAAATTGACAAAAAATCTCTAATTTCCTTTGAACACTGGACAAGTTGAGTGGTTCTGTTGCCACGAATATACCAGTCATTGGTTAATTAAGAACTCTTTAAACCTGTTTCAGAATGGTCTGTTCAAAACAAAACCAATAGTCAGGAAGATGTTTGCAGGATGTTAGCGAATGCATGAACTATTATATGGGTCTATTTCTTCTAAAGATGTCAAAATATGAGTTGGGGTGTGGTATCGAAACTGACCTACATGAAATGCGCAGCAGTAACATGGACTTGGGCAATGTAGACTTCGTCGTGATTTTAATTATCAGAAGGAATAAAACCCATCTGTTTGGTTATTTCAGTATTCTGTACTTTTATTCCTATTAAAAATAAATAATAGAGTGAAAGATCTAGTTCAGTATATAAAAGATCAGTACGAAGCTGGTTAACGTGGTTTCATGACTTAGTTTTAGAGTTGAAATTGTGGTCAGTAGACAGTTGGGATTGTAATGGCTCGTGGCAGTGCGTGGTGCACCTGGCATGCGTGCATGTCCTCATCATTTTAGTTTCAAGCTGCTGTAGCACCTTATTGCTGCTTCTATAATGAAATGCTAGGGAAATGCCTTGTTAAATTTTAGCTTAGCATTATTAAAAACAAAACAGTAATTACAAGGCATCACAAATGAAAGAGAAAACAAGAGGCTTATAACCATTTTGTAACACAGTTCATCCTTGACCACCGTGATCTGTCAGTCACCTAGGCTTTGATGAGTAACATAATCTCTGTGTTTGTGACCTTTACAGAGAGAATTAGAAGGAACAAGTAAAAAGGAAAGGGGAGGGGAGTTGGGGGGTGGGGGGTTTGGAGTGAAGAAATAAAGAGGAAAACAAAGAAGGGGAGTGTCCAGACAAGGTTTATCTATGTCCTGTCTCCATGTTTATCTATGTTTATAATGACAAAATTACACATGTGAGTAAACAAGTACAAAGGAAAGACTCGTCCCAAATGGGGAAATGTATTTCGTGTCACCACTCAATCATGGTCTTTGTTGTTAACTGGAAAAAATCAGTCAGCTTGATTCATCAGCACTTAATTCCTATTCGAAAAAGTTAATAGAAACAAGCAGTACTTGTTTTCATTTGAACAATTTAGAAGTGTGTGAGAGGGCAAAGAGAACTGCTCACATGCAGTATGTGCACGTGTGGGAGTAAACAGCTTGCTCCTTGTATTCCCGCCACCTGCCTGAGGCAGTAACTGAGATCCACACAGTACTGAGATAGATGAAGGGACCACATCAGCCAGACTAGGAAATCCATCAGGGAAATATGTCTATCACATATCCTCTCAGTGGTATGCAGCTACAGACAGAGAGAGAAGGTACGGGCAATTAGCTTGTCATCCATACACAGGCTGAGGATCAGGCAGAAGATTTCGCTCTGGATAGACTTTGGAAGAGCACCAAGCTGATGTGATACATGGCTGTCAGCTCCATGCATACTTCATCACAGCACAGAGAGTCTGACTTCTGGCACCAAGAGTCGCTGTCTGTTTCCAGTGGTTCCAGGTACAACCTCCTGGTTTCCAGTAGGCTCCTAATTACACAATGTTTGCCCTCATCTGCTCCGCATGGTCAAAGGCAACAGAGAGGATGTCACAGCTACTCTTCAAATGGCGGAAGATTGTCAGCTTCTTTGGCTGAATAATAGAGATGATCCTCGCAAACCTGTTTCGTCAATATTTACTTTGTTTCCTCCTTTTTTTTGGTTGGCTCTAATTTTTATCAGATCTGTTTAATGTTTAACAGCACTAATTAAGCAGAAGATGATGTACTAGTATAAGTAACAGTGTGGGGAACAACATGGTCAGCTGAACGCAACGAGGCTTCTGATTTCGTAAGTACTACACACGCACTTTTCTTGGAGACTTGCAAACAATGATTTCTGTGGTCGGTGAAATTTTAATATTAGGTTAATTTCATTTGTCTGCTTGTGATTTGGTTCTATGCAGATGTTGCAATGGAAGATTAATCAAGCAGACATGCAAGGGACCAGTGGGACCTGCTGTTCTGGGGGAATATGCTTAGCCTGAAATCAAACTAAAATAACCTTTGAAGTCATGGGGACTTATTAAGTAGTTGTCAAAACAGAATACTGATGTAATCGCCTTTTAGGTTGGAACAGTCTTCACAGTGACTCAAAATTAGTATAATCCCACTATTGACTGAACAACCAGGTACAATTTATAAACTCTTTCAAGTGACTTAATTTAAAAAACAATAACTGAATTGCTAAGGCCAGGCTTTCTAATTAGACAGGGGTGAGTGTAACGGGGGGCGGGTGGAAGGCCACAATTTAAATTTAATTGCCCCTTTTATTCCCATAGACAAACTAATATGTGGTCTGGAAGAGAATTATTTTCTGAATTTCCAATTTGCATAAAAAGTACTGCCAGATTTAGTAAAGCCTTTCCAATTTCTTCAGCTTTGAAGTGTTAACAAAAATATTTGTGTCTGAAATTTTCTAATCTCAAAATGTTGAAATTAATGTGATTTCATCTCTAAAGGGAAAAGTATGGGAGGAAAACTTGATGACAATATTCAGTGTTTTCCAGCTTCTGGTAGAAGCACTTGTTTCAGATTTCTATAGAGAGCTCTGACACTAACAAAAGTTTTTTAACTGATCTGTTATACTAGAAGCTATAACAGAGACATGCCTAATATAAGCTTGCTGCAGAAAAAAACCCTAAGCCATACTCTTTGCTTCAGAAATTCTTTGAAATTCAGGCTAAGTTCTGTATGGACACAGGAAGTGAACATGGACAGATAAAAATTATCTTCTCATTTGAGTGTTCAATATCTCAAATATCTAGAGAAAAACAGCCTACAAGATGTAAAACATCAAGTATTTTTTGAACACTCTGTGTACTACATTATTACTTCATTTTTCCACATAAGGTTTGTTTGGGTTTTGGTTTTGGGGGTTTTTTTGGCTGTGAAGAACAGGGAGAGTTCTGCTTAAAAGAGATGCAAATAGCTGAATCATATTCCCACCTAGAGCCATACTCCATCTTTTGGTTTAAGGAAATTCAAATTTAGTGTTACCACTTGTTACTGCAGATCACTGCAGTAGACCCTGTCTTCTCTCAGGCACACTCAGCATACTCAGATCTAAGCAAATATGAGAACACACAGCTAGTGTATACATTTGCTGTAAAAACAAGAAAGATCATCAATAAAAAAATAAAACAAAATCCTTGAACTTGGGCTGCCCTCAGAAACCCCATCTAAATGTTGTTTGGATAGTAAATACAATCATCTTTCACATCTGGGAATGAGTGTAGGACCAAGACAACTTTACCTGGGCAGGACACAGGAAAATATGTTCCTGGAAGAAAAGGCTACAAACAGGCTGCATTGACTGGAAACCAGAAGAGAAGCCATAACGGTAGAAAAGTTCTAGAAATATTTTCATGCAGAAGCTACAAGAGCAAAAATCTCATTTTCATTGATAGCTTGTTACAGTTCTGAATAGGGTTTGTATGAGATGCCTCCAGAACAGCAGGGAACTGAATTCAGTTAACCAGAGACTTGTCCAAGCTCCTGTGGAGAGCAGGGGCTCACATGAAGGATATTACATCAGCATTAGGAGAACAAGCATGACAAAGAAACTTGCCACCTCCAAAGAAATTAATCTATATCCTTTGATTTCCAAATGGGATCAATGGTCCTCTTCCTCTTGGATCCAGGTCTTTCCCACATCCCATGCAAGTTAACCCATTGGTGAGGGGCAAAACATCATTTAACAAATTACAAACACTTGTTGCAGCCCCCTAAAAAAGAAAGGTTCCTTCACTGGAAACATGCACCTCATTTTCTGATGCAAACCTGCTGCTTCCCACATGTCTTTGTGCCCACTTCTGTGTGCAGTGCTGTCATGTCACGGGATGCTCCAGGCTTTTGCCTTGAATTTTGCCTTGAAGTTCATGCCTTTCTTCCACCACCAGCTGTGGCCAATGACTGGCCATGTGAGTAAGTAAACAGGGCCGTGAGGTAAACAGAGGTGTGAATTTAACAAGCACCAGATGGTCTGTGATAGCTGTCTGCCTCTATGCTGCTGCTCTGGTGGAAGTGAGGGAATTTACCCCACTTCCAGCAAGTAGCAAAAAGCCTCACATTTCCTCACATTTATTAAATTGCTTTTGGGCAGATGCTGTGGAGTATTTGATGTCTTTGAAACCCACACCCCATCTTCCCTCATGGAACTTGTTTGTTTAGATGTACCCTATAATGAGACAACAATCATAGGAAAATAATGTAATTGTTAATTGAGATTATTGTGGACTTTAGCTCTGTGTTTTCATAGCCAATGTATTGCAATGAAGAAAAGTATTACCTTTTCAGGCCAGTTACAATGAAATATGATGGTTTATTATGCTGACATTTTAATCTATAACTTGGATGAATTTATTAATTAAATTTGACATTGTACCCATGAGAATTTTAAATATCATATGTATATTAGATATCTGCAGTTGCACTATGTAATATTTATGATAACAAACTATTTATTATTCCTTACTACCAAGCACATCATTACCATCTGCTTATTTAATGACTGTTTATTTTGTGACAGAATAATTTCAAAAGAAGATGAAGTGTATCCTGCACCTGTGTTTACTCCTTGCTGTTCTTTGTGCTGTAACCCATTGCCACCGTGAAGTTATTTGCCATGAAGTCAACAATACTAATCTGCAAGATGGAACAGAAAATTTATTAACACATAACTGTGACAAGCAAGGCTCTAACTATGCAGATTTTGTATTTAGATTTTACAAACAGGCTATATCAAAAGAAGCTGATGAAAATGTTTTCTTTTCTCCCATAAGCATCTCCACTGCATTTGCCATGCTGGCTGTTGGTGCTAAGTCAACCACCCTGTCTCAGATTTTTGGAGGACTGGGCTTTGACGATCTGACTGAGGCTCGCATACGTGATATACATGACAGTTTTCACAAAGTTTTATCAGTACTGAACTGTGCTGATGCTAATATCACATTAAATATAGGGAATGCCATTTTTACAGCTACTGGGTATGAACCACAGGAGTCATTTTTACAAAATGCCAAACAATTTTATGATGCAGATTTTTTTAATAGCAATTTCCATAAACCAGAAGAAACTAAGAGGCAAATCAATAAATACGTAGAGGAGAAAACCAATGGGAAAATTACTGAATTAGTTGATCATCTTGAACCAAGTACTGTACTAGTTCTAGTTAACTACATTTATTTCAAAGGTAAGATATTTAACATAATATTCCAATAGATGGGTTTGATGCAAAATAAAAATTTACGGAACTCCTGATGATTTGTTACCAGAGTGACTATTTAGGATAGTGTGCAGAACCTTCAAAGTAGAGATTAGATCTGGCCAAGAGCAGGGTATCTGATTGTTGAGAAATACTGATTGCTTAATCATGACCCAGTTTGCCTGAAAGCTGTAGACAGAGAAGTCCCTCTCTAGTGGACCTCTCATAGACAGGGATCCACTGCACATAGTCTCACTGGTCTGAGGGCATAATGACTAAAGATATTTCCAAGATCTCTATACTGACTGTGCATGCCCGTCAAACTTGGTAGACTGATACTCTTGCATAGGGTCCCCAGTTTTATGGTAGATCCACTAGGTGCATTGCACGAAAATTTGGGACAGAGTATTTTGAGGGCCTGTGTCTCTGGAGCCTTGCTCAAACGTTAAGACCCTTTATCCTGGTGATGAATTCCTCACCAGGCTGAGTGCAGTCAGCTTTTGTAGGGGCATAGCCTAATAGGAAAGGCATGAGAAGAAGGTCCTGTGGCTGAATGTTTAAGTCATTGTATTTAAATGGTATAAAAGGCATTACATACTGCTACAGTAGAAGGACTCTCAATTGGTCCTCATCAGCCTTTTGTTGGTTTTCAGCAAGACAGGATTTATTCATACTTACTATGCTGAGCTTACTGCACAGCTAAAATTGCTTTATTGTGTGTTATGCAGGAGGTTGAAATTATTCAGTGATCATATTCTCCCATAAATAGCCCTCCATTGTCCTACATTTAATTTGGCCTAATTCAGAAGAGCCATTTCTTATGATTATCACATTTGAGGGCAATATCTTCTCTTTTCCCCCATTAGCTGCCTGGGAAAAGTCTTTTGATCCTTTGCGTACATATGAGGATGATTTTTTTGTGAACACAAATGCATCTGTTAGAGTCAACATGATGCAGCATGACAGTATCTCTAACACTTACTACGACCAGGATCTCTCCTGCGAGGTGATAGAGCTGCCTTACCAGGGCACTGCACGAGCATTGCTCATTCTGCCTGATGATGGAAAGATGAAGCAAGTGGAAGATGCTCTCTCCAAGGAAACTCTTTGTAAATGGAATAACAGACTTATGCCCAGGTAACTCTAGGTAGATGGATTACTATATTTGAGAACAATTCACTGTTTTTAAAAGGAAGTGCTAATTTCACATCATCTCCTACTGGGTATAATGTCCTGATTTCATAAATAAGCAATTCCCCAAATGAGTCAGAGCAGAGCATAACTACTAAGAAACTGCAGGCTCTCTGACCAGACAGAAGGGGTCACAGCATTGTAACAATTGCCTCAAGACTTGCTTGGCTGCCTTTTGACTACCATACCGCCTCTTTCATGGTGCCAACGCAATTCATTTGCTTCACCATGAATTTTATCATGATAGATTTTATCCTCCTTTTCCCTTATTTTAGGCTTTCCACAGTCAGTCTGCTTATTCTCTGTAACTCTCTGGTCAAAAACTCTGCTAGTTGTGTATGTGGCACTGGGATGAATGAGTGGGAATGAAGAAATTTGTTTCTTTTCGCAAAAATCAAATGGAGAATGTAGAAACAAGAAGATGGAGCATCTCTCTGGATGCCAAGATTGCTCAAGGAATACAAATGCTGCCATCAAACAAGTCTGCAATCAAAAGAATTCTTTCAAGTGTGGCTGAATTGCATACTATCCATCCTGCTGGCTGAAATAGGCCCGGAATACCTCACTGTTGTTTTGTTTTCTTTGATCAACAGGAGATTAAATCTGCAGTTACCAAAGTTTTCTATTAGTGGGTCTTACGATGTTAAAAACCTGTTTGAGAAAATGGGCATTACTGAAGTGTTCTCAGGTAATGCTGATCTGTCGGGAATTAGTGGCAGCCATAATCTCCAGGTTTCACAAGTAAGTGCTAGTGATGGGGTGGTGGTTGGTTGTTTTGGTCAATTGTGTCTGGGGTTTTTAAAGACTTTCTTCCCCTCCTTTTATTGTTGAAGTTATAAGTAAAACTCACAATGAAACCTAGGGGCTTGCTTAGTAATTTTGCTTTTCTACAGAAAGAATCTTCTGGATCACTTTTGTATTGCTTTAATATTGCTATTAAAAAGCTGGATATTAAGTACATGGAAAAGTTGAACAACTTTAAATGATTTCTTGGCACTGGAATATAATATTTTATATGATATTGTGTCAAGTAAACTGTAAATGAGGAGTATATTATGATCTTTGTGTTGATTAGTACCTAATTTTTTAATATTTTCAGTTTCCAGGAGATTTTCAATTTGCAGAAGCAGAATTTCACTATGTCAGTTTAAGCTATGATTTAATGTTAAAGATGACAAATACTAACCCTGCAGTAGCATTTAAATAGCAGTCTTTCATTAACCTTGGAATAAGAGAAAGTGTTGCTATTGGAAGTCCAAACCATCTAAGAAAATAAACTAGTTTGTGCATGGGCTGTTATTATCTCCCTCTACTCAGCACTAGTGAGAATGTACTTACAATATGTCCCTGTTTATTTTTGGCTCTCCTTGTTCAGTCCTGACATAGAAAACACTCCTGTTTCAGACCACTGGAGATTTACCATAAAAGAAAATTTCATCCATTGGATTTATCACTGCTTTCTTCTCCTAAATATTCCATAAGAAGAGAATTTATTTTACCTCCCTCTTCCTGTGCCATATATAAACCACAGTGTTTTCTTCTTTTCCCTGTAGGCAATTCACAAGGCCCTGCTGGAAGTTGATGAGGCTGGAACTGAAGCTGCAGGAGCCACTGCTATAATCTCTACCAGAGTTCTGTATCCTTCTGTTACCATCACATTCAACAGGCCCTTCGTTTTGTTGGTACAAGACAAGCAAACTAGCACTACACTTTTCTTTGGGAAAATTGTTGATCCTACTAAAAAGTAATTGCTGAGTTATTTGGCATATTGGTGTTGGGCACGAATTGTAATGGGTACAGTGTTCACATACACGGGCTTGTTGTCCTCTCTGACTGAGGAATATTCAGAAGTAAATCAGGAATTCCTTGTCAAATTAATAAGCAAAAAATTATGAAAAAAATCTCATCAAGTAATGTTTTTTAAATGTAACATTTTCCCCAGTTGAGTGTTTGTATTGGGTTTGCATGGCAAGGTTGTGGTTGCGGGTGGGGCTACAGGAGTGGCTCCTCTGAGAAGCTGGTAGAAGCTTCCCTCACGTCCAACAGAGCCAATGCCAGCCGGATCCAGGACGGAGTTGGCACCAGCCAATGCGAAGCCCATCAGAGATGATAGTAATGCTTCTGTAATAACATATTTAAGAAGGAAAAAAAGTTATTTTGCAGAAGTAATTGCAGCCAGAGAAGAGCAGAGTGAGAATAAGTGAAAGAAACAGCCCTGCAGACAGCCAGGTCAGTGCAGAATGAGAGGGAGGAGGTGATCCAGGTGCCAGAGCAGAGATTCCCCTGTTCTGGGGAATCCAGAAAACCCTGGTGAGGCAGCTGTGCTCATGCAAACCCTGGAGGGATGCAGTGATCTACCTGCAGCCTGTGTAAGAGGTGGATGTCCAAAGGAGGCTGTGATCCATGGGAAACCCACACTGGAGCAGGTTCCTGGCAGGATCTGTCACTCCATGGAGAGAGGAACCCATGCTAGAGCAGGTTTGCTGGTAGGACTTGTGACCCTGTGGGGGACCTACGATGGAACAACCTGTTTCTGAAGGACTGCACCCCATGGAAGGGACCCATCCTGTAGCAATTCATGAGGAACTGTAGTCCATGGGAAGGACTCACACTGGAGAAATTTGTGGAGGACTATTGCCTATGGGAGAGACCCCATACTGGAACAGGGGTAGGACTCCCTGAGGAGGGAGCAGCAGCAGAAACTGTGATGAACTGACCACAACTCCTGTTCCCCATCTCCTTGCACTGCTGTGGGGGAGAAGGTAGTGTCTGGGAAAGAGGGATGGGTAGGGGGAAGGTGGTTTTAAGATTTGGTTTACTTCTCATTATCCTGCTGTGTTTTTGATTGCTAATAAATTAATTTAATTTCTCCAAGTGAAGTCTGCAGAGGTCAATAATGCTTAGACGATCCCAGTGGAGGCAAGAAGCTGGAATGCTTTATTGGACTTACAAGTTCATATTTAAAGGCTTTAGGGTCTACATATTCAACAGGGGGGTTACATATTCATTGGGGGCCAGAACTATTACAATTAGGGACTTTATAGGGATGAGGTAAAGGGGAAATCCTAAATTACCAACTTTTGGGTCTTAGCACTTACATCATAGGCAAAAACCCATCTTATCTTAGGGGGATTACATGGGGGGAGCAGGTAACACAAAGGGAGAGATAAAACATGAAAGTTTTTCTGCACAGGTTTGATGAGATCAGGGCATGGTTTCTCCAGGCTTGGGCAGGACATTCCAAACCCGTGACATCAATAAATCCTTGTCTGGACTCTAGATGGAGGTTTTTTCCCAGGCTCTGTCAGCCCAAGGCTTTTGTTTAAACCTAGTAGTTTTCTTTTTCTCATATCCAAAAATTTGGAATCCAACACAACTCTGTTTTTCCTTTGACAGTAATCTTTCCCTGTCCTTATGTCAACTAATGAAACTTTAATCATATTTTCTATCCCCTGTCCACTTGAGGAAGGAAGTGATAGAGCGGCTTTGGTGGGCACTTGGCATCCAGCCAGGGTCAAAACACAGTTGAAGTTATTAATATGTTTTCCAAATTTTCCTTGAAAGATAACTTTTTTAAAGTATGTTGTTATTTTTCAAAGTGAATTCTCTCTGCTAAGGAGTTTTACTACTCACCAAAACTTTTATCCCAACAGGTAACAAGTCTTGTAATGCTACTATGTCTTCTCCAGCACATGATGATGACCAGTATTCACCTGAGCTAGTCCCTACAAAGTCCTTTCTTCTTTACATTGCTCTTTGCTGCCTAGGCTGTTTATCCTCAATCAACCTATTCTTTCTCACGTTCCAACTCTTTGCCTAGGAGCTCTTAAGAAATCATTGACAAAAAAAAGAGAAAAATCCCTGAAACAATAGGCTTATTCTGCTGTAGCTCTCAACGTGTCTCTTTGCAGTTCAAAAAATCAGCAAAAAACTTTGAGACAGTGACATTAGGCATAGCATAAACTGTCAAAGAATTGTCCTGTGACAAATGTCATTCACGAATTATTGTTATGGCTGATAAATAAAATAAACATTGCAATTCAAATCCATCACTTAAGGAATTACTCCAGTCTCTTGCTATCATTCTATAAAGCTTTTGAAATCAACAAAACCCCTCAGTCACTCTTATTAACATATCAGGACGTCTGTAAAATATGTTTTATGTCTGTAAAATATGTTTTAAAGTCTGTTAAAGGAGTAAAACTATTCTCATATGGAAATTGAGATTCTTTACATTCTCTTTTTTGTGCCTATTTGGGTAAAACCTGTTTTCAAGAAAGACATGAACACTTCCTTTCTGTTGTGGGTCTGTAGATCACCACTCTTACTGCTGTGGAGTACTGAGGCTAAACTCTGTATAACAAAACATTTATCACACAGCTGCTGCCTCAAGGAGAGGCTAACTTTGACAGCTGTTCTCTCACTGCACTGCTTTAACTTGTGTCATTGCATATTGATCCTGGATACATTTTTTGCAAGTGGAGTTGAGTCCCTGTCTCTAGGAAGGTGATGTTTCTGAATGTGCTTGCTCATTTCCACAGTGATCCTGGCAATGTGCTGTGAGCACTGCAAAGGCAACGCAAACCCCAAATCAAAGCTCTCCCCCCACATCTCTCTGGCCTTCTGACTTGTTTTCCCAAACTTGGTCCACCCTACATAAAGGTGCTTTACTGAGGCCCATCAGTGCTTGAAGCATGGGTTTGGTGTGTGGAGGACTATGTTTCTGACTGAGGGAGACTTGGAGATTGCTGCTGTGTATGAGTCCATTTGCACCAAGTACCAAGAACTCGGTGGAAGCCCTGAGCTATTGCTTCTTCTGGGACAAGATGCCATCACTCAGCGGACTGGGAGAGACCACACCTCTGTGCAAAGCAGCGGCTTTTACAGAGTTGAGATCAATGATAACTTGCTGTGGTGTGAGGCAGCCTGCTCTACAATGGCCATACAAACTCAACAAGTGCTGGGAGCAGTTCCCACGAGATCCCATCCCAATAAATCTGTGCACCAGAACTGACTAGAAGGTAGGATGGTGAGATTTTTATCTGAGTAATGAGATTTTTATCAGGGTGCAGTGGCAGAAAAACAGGTTCTTGGCCTGTTGCTAAAGGGAAAGAAGTTAAGAAAAATCCCATGGAAATATATTTAGGAAATAACACATGGAGCAACTTCCTGCCCCATCTACCTCTCAGGCTTTACTTTTGAGAGCAGGGGAAAGGAACAGCAGGACAACAGCTGCATTGGAAGTTTCCACATTGGACTGTGGAGACTGACTGCTCCTGGCAAAAGTATCAAATGAGGCATTTGAATGCTGGTTTGGGAGTTATCTACCACAATCTGGGGCATTACCACAGTTGTCCTCCGGTTGACAACTTCATGCTCCAGACCAGCAGGTTGGCCTGAGTTGTGGCAGGGACCTGTGGTGGGAAGAGGGATCACCCCAAATCTCTCTTGAAGGGAGGGATGTCGAGGGAACAGGAAACTAATTAGTCTTGTGCTATACATACACTGAAACCAGAAAAATGCCTATAGTTCACAGTATAGAGATCTATAGAGCCTGGACTGACACTGGCATTACTCTCAGCATTGTTCTAACGATATTCGTTAGGAACCGGACAATTCTGCAAAGTTTTTGTGTGGAGATAGGGTATTTTGTCCTAATTCCAAGAAATCTGTCTTAGTCTGCCTTGTATTAATTGTTCATGTAGCTGTTGTGTGTCTTTATGTTACAGGGAAAGTTCCTCTTCATGCTACTAGAATTGTTAAAGGTAGAGAAGGAAAGGAAGGATTCTGGTAGACATAAATGGCTTTAATTTTCATTTATGGACTGTGTATTCATTCTATCTGTGCCAAACACATGTATTTTATGGCGTCTCTCATTCATCTGTAAGTGATTTTATTAACATTCTTCAGTATTCCTCTACAGTTGTCACTCATGCATTTTTCAGCCTATGGGGCAGCAGGATCCAAACTAAGCCCTGAAACAGAACTAGACCATTTTTATAACCTAAAAGTGTAATCCACTTGACTTTCTACAGTGACAGTCAGCAGAAGGGGATAATAAAGCTTACAGTGAAGTATGTGACCCCCTACCATAAACATCCAAGAGAAATGACCTGCTGTGGGTCTGTTAGTCCTGACCTGACTGACATGCTTATGCGAAGCTCATAGGAAAAAGACATATGCTCTGAGGAAACAGAGCATATCTCAGCTGATAAGCTCTGTGAATGAAAACAGATTCACTAGGCTGGGTCCCTGAAAGGCAGCCTAGCTGTGCCTCAGCAGACCTGAGGGACAGACTTTTCCTGGCAGCCTATGAGCCATGTGGGAGACTGTAAGTTTGTTCTATCTGACCTTGTTTATGGTCCACTGTGACTTGACTTGATGATGAGATAGCTTCTGTCAGTAACTCTCTGTTTGCTTTGCCCTGTGACAGAGTCTAAGTAGAATGTTGTTACAAAACATGAAGCAGTAGGATGGCAGGGTTAATGTAGTATGTAGTTCAATGCATTTCATCAGTAAGGAGAGGAGCTGATTTAATGCCAAAAGGCATAAAGCATTTGGATAGTAACAGAAGAACCAGTTGCTCACATAAGCCCTGTTTTTCAGCTGCTACCACTACTTTGGACTTTCCTTTCTTATTCCTGGCTATGCAATTTGAGTCTCAGCCTTGGTATCTGAAGAATTTGCCCTTGAATGGGCACAGCAGTCCTCTCCCCATAGCTGTGTCATCTGCTCAGCCCTTGATCACTGCTACTACTTTAACGAAACAGGAATTTACCTAGGTGTAAGCCAACCCTATTCTGATCCTGTCAGTAGATTCAGTAAAACAAAAGGTTCAGGCTTTTTCTCTTTACTCACACTCATTTCAGGCAGACAATCACTAAGCTCTTAAGAACCAGATGATTGTGATAGTTCCTAGGCAGGGTGGTTTTTGAATCTGTGTTCTGGGAACCAGGAATACCTGTAGGCTGATACAAGGCAGTCTCAGTGCCTCACAACCCAGCTGCTTATCTTTGACATGAGTCTTCATAGCTTTTAGTGGTAAAAAAACCCCCTCATAGCAGTGTTAAGCCCTAATCCAGCATTAAATTCTTGCCTCCAAAGCACAGAGGCACTAGGATTTCCAAGCAAAGAAAAAGCGCAAGAGAAACACGAACATTCTAAAATGCAGATATTTCACTGAAAACTCTAAATATGCACTGCAGTGGAAGCTAGAACAAGTGCAAATTATCAAGAGGGAAAGGAGCATGAAGACTGCCGTGGGCTATGTATCTCTGAGTCCTGTAACACACCCTCCATATCTTACCCATCCGTACTACATTGTTGGATACTGCACGTCTGCTCTTACCCCATGAAAGCAGCAGGGGGCTGCTTTCATTAGATTTAAACTGAGCATATGTATAATATCATTCATTCCCTTTAAACTGTTAGCCAGCAAAGACTGATCTGCAAATATCCTTCATTAAGTTCCCAGTCCCAGGTATAACACTGAATCCATTTTTAAATAATTTGGTAATTGCTCTTTCCTCAGACTAACAGATTTAAAGAAAACTATAATTCATCCATTTCATGTAGATATCATTGATTATGATTAATATCCTGGTTACACAGAGTCAGCTAAACACTGATGCTGCTGCAAATGAGTTTGCTGGCTTGTTGAAAAAAAGAATTTCTATGATGAAAGTGCCTTTTCAGTTCAATCCCACCCCTGGAGATGAATTTATTACAAGTGACTTAACCTTATTTATACAAATGAGCCTTTGTTTCTCTTATGTGTATTGCGTTCAGTTTCTTTTCCATAAGCCATCTGGAAACAAAATTCTTATTACTTAACTAAACAAGAACATATCCTTTGAGGTTGGAAAACTGTTAACAGCAATATGATGCTCATATGGAAGGTCTGAAGAAGACTTTGTCTGACTTTGGCAACCATCTTACTAAGGAAAAGTTACTATATTGTTCACCGTGTTTCATGTAGAAAAAACAGACTACATGGAAGATGCTCTGATCAAGAAAAATGTTTGAAAGGAAAAGACAACATAGAATAAGACAACACAATCGTAGAACCAGGTTGGAAAAGAGCTCCAAGATCATTGAGTCCAACCTAAATGTTCTAGTCATCATAACAACTTTGGTTGCAGCCAGGAAACAACCTCAGAGCAGGAGAAAACATCTGTGCACAGAGGAGGTGAAAGAAGTAATGAAAAGTCCTAATGCATATGAATACTGTTAGGTTTGCTGTTCTCACAGATGCAGATTCTCTAGCCATCAGAAAAACCATACCATAAGTCACATCTTCAAGGGACAGATACTAGAATTTATTTTCTGTTCCTCTATCTTTCAAGTCTGAGCTGTGTCCCTTGGGTAAATCCTATGAGTGAAATTTGAAGGCATATTATGTCGCAGTTGCCCTGGGCAGAGATTACTACCTCATGCCCATGCCTGTCATTGTGCTGTGTTTCATAGCCCTGACATTCTCAGTTGTGTCAAGAGTGACCAAAGAGAGGCATCAAACCGAAGCAAATATGCTCTAATACTTCTGTACATTTCTAGATTGTCAGGTTGTGAAAGATGGTGCAGCAATCATGAGAGAAAGCTCATGTAGGTACAGCCTAGATCCCAAAGTGTCCTGTGGAGGCATGCTAATGCAAGTCATTGATGGAAATAGAATTGTGCCGACCTGCCAGATTATGATCTGCAGAGGCTAAGGGCAACCACACAGTCTCTTCTTTTGCCTCCATTGAAACAGGGAAGAGAATTGCTGCATTAAACTGTCTCAGTGACCTCTCAGAATCCTCGAAATCTTACATTCTAAAATCTCACAGTATCAAAGACTTGTTTAAGAAAAGGGATATGAGCAATGGAATCATATAATAAATTTAATTTTATTGAATATATTCACTCTGCTAGTTGATCGTCCTTCTGCTTCTTCACTGAGGCCACCAATATTAATCTATCAACCAGTAGAAAATGATAACACCTTGCAAAATTTAGCCCTAATACTTTCTATCTGGCTTTGGAAGCAAAAACCTTCAAGTATAATTCCAAAATATCTACAGAAGGCATTTTCTTAGTGCTTAATTGACCACATCTACATCACAGAAATAAAGAATGTAAGGCATCAATTTAAATTTATTTAGTAATACCAAGAGATTTCTCTGGTAGACAACTTAATTTCAAAATGACAACTTTTATTCTCTGGTGAAGTTGTCACTCAAAATGTTGTTTGCATAGAAAGGGTTCTTTTACACCAAGAGAAAAAGGTCCACAGGGCAAATTCTGCTAGTAAAATGTTATTATTTCCATTTACCAGTTATGAGTGGTAAGATTCTTGCAAGAAGCCAAGCTTTTAGTGTGATTCTCCTACACCATTTTCTGCAGGTAGAACTGTTAAGCATGGAGCCTTGAGTTCTGGGGATTATAGGAAAAGGAGCCCTGTGCCACCATCTCCTGGTAAAATAAAGCAATGGACATGACCAATTCTATCTAATTTTGAAACCAGGAAGAACAGCAGCTTTCTGGATTGTTATTACTCTGTTGGTAGGAGCTTCGATTTTCTTGTTAAGTTTTAGCTGCAGGTTTGGTGAAATGCTGCACTTGAACTGACTGCTGCCACACAGAAGTGAGGGTTTGGTGTCATGGTGGGTAGCAGGTACACAGATCAGCTCAGTAGTGGGGAAGGAGGCAAATTAAATATTAAAAATTACTGGGGTAGAAAAAAGAGAAAATCAATAGCAAATCACCATGCCACAGTCTAAATCTCTGGACCATCCACATGTGGTCCTATAATAACAGAAGGATAAATGAGAAAATCCCTATTACAGGCTGCAGAAAGCAAAGTGTTATGTCCTTCCATTACACTGGTAGTCTCCACAGAAAGGGCTGTCTGTGTATGAGGAACAAGTGCAATTTGAATTTTTTTCCAGTCTGATATTAAGTGATGTAAAAATATTTTACACCTGAGAATCACTATCAGGTGTAAATGAAAGGAAAAAAATAGTATATTAAAAGTAAGGCAAAGAAATAAATTGATTAGGCTGTAAACGCCAAGGTTGAGAGACATTAACTCTTTCAGAGAATCTGCCATCAGAATAGAATATGCTATTTTACATTACTTCATATCAGAATGGAAAAAAATCCTCATTTTACTAGCCTTTAGTAAAAAAATGGTTCAAAACAATTGCATATAAAATCTGCAAATTTGCAATCCATCAAAGCTCTTAAAAATGTTTTGAGGTTACTGTTGTTATCAAAATATCACAATTAATTTGAGAGAGCATTTCTTCCTTTTTTTTTTTCAATTCAAATCACTAAGCATTAATTATTATTGCCACAGGTTCTGATTTAGCAAAGACAATGATTAAATGATTATCTTCAGCAGAACCATTCACACACTGGTCATATGACTAGAATTATTAACGATTCCACATTTTGTGCAATCCGTTATCATATTAAAAAACAACTCCTAGGGCCTGTGTTTCTTCTTCTACTTGAATTGTCCTCAGAGGGCAACCCAAGTTTCCTGTCTGCCAGGCTTGTGCATGTATTATTAGATCAACACATCATACTAGTTGATCTTTTTCCAACACCATGGGTACTTACAGCTGTGTGTGTGTGTGTGTTTACATGTATCTATGTCTTTTACAAAGTATCTTCATAATTTACACTGTATTCCTTTTGAAGTTTGTATTTGATAAGCGCATTTGCCAGATGACATTCTCCTGCACATGGTTCAGCAGTAAGTAACAATCCAAACATATGAGCAGGCCACATCCACAAAATAAAATCCTTTTGGTTTACAATATATCTTGTGTTCACTTTACTTCAATTTTTATATTTAAAATTAAATTATCAGGATTTTACGTGAGGAATTAAATTCTTGAAAACAAATGAAGCAAAACCTTCATGAAAGGATGAGCATTTCTGGGTTCCAGGAGGGAGAAACGCAAATTAAATTGGAGTCTAGAGTTAATGGAAAATGAGAAGCATCTTCTAAGTTTTGCCTGGAATACAGTTAATTTTCTTCATAGCAGCTGGAATGGGGCTATGTTTTGGATTTGTGTTGAAAACAGTGTTGATAATACAGAGATGTTTTAGTTCTTGCTGAGCAGCACTTACACAGAGCCAAGGCCTTTTCTCCTTCTCACCCCACCCCACCAGTGGGTGGGCTGGGGGTGCCCAAGGAGTTGGGAGGGGACACAGCTGGGACAGATGACTCCGAGTGACCCAATGAATATTGTACATCATATTTCATACCACTTCACACTATATATTTCATACTATTGTGCTCAGCATGTAAATCTGAAGGAAGAAGAAAGAAGAGGGAAGAATGTTTGGAATGATAACATTTGTCTTCCCAACCTACTGTTAAGTGTGATGGAACTTGTTGTCAACATGGTTAATTGGCATAATTCTAGGAACATTTGTAAGGGTTGTCAGTATTAAAACCCAATAGTTTAACATTGCTGAGAAGGTACCCTCCATCTTCTTGGCATGTTGTGATTTATAATTAGTTAATTTGATTTATTTTAATTTTTTTTTTATTCTCCCCAATATCTTAGCCAGGTGGAATATTATGTAAGAAAATGAAATAAAATTTAAAGCTATAAAGGCAAGAAACCCCAGAAAACAGAAAAGAATAAGTGTTGTCTGTCTTGGAGGATAAGGAAGGAATTAGGTGGAACCTGGAAAATTAAATCCTTTCAATGGATTAGCTATTTGCTGGGCAATATGGCATCACTGAATTGCTATCCCATGATGTAGTCAATCTGTAAATCATAGTTCCATGATGCTCTCAAAGCTATAGACCTTAATAAATATGTTTTTGCTATTGCAAGCAACATAATTTTTTCTTGTTTTATGTGGTTTTAGATAGCAGCAAAAGGTATCTTGAAATGGAACTGCTTCCAGAATCCCTGAGGCTGATAAATATACCTTTGGTTAAAAACCGACGAAAATAACAAGGACTAATGAACAAAGTAGAAAGAACTTGTATTCCCAGCAGAGGTTGTGTATATCTATGTTATTCTTTAAAGAGAAGAGATACTACAGCATTTCATTGCAAGTGTGGGGTGTTGCATGCCTCTCCAGTCAGAAAGCAGTCATCCTTCAGGCCATCCCTTCATTTATGTCCTTTCTGCCTCACTGCTAATAAACAAGTTGATCTCTGCTAATGAAGATTAAGGATTATTGGTATGTTTGCAGAGCTTGCTAAACTGGAAATACTCAAGTTCCTGTTTTCCATCTTGTAAATCTTATTCACTGTTCTGTAAGCTATAATAGGTCAGTGACCACATGGATTTCTAGCTACTTTGACAGTTCATAATCGAGTTGTAATTACTGGGCAATGGTTCAGTGATTTATGGATTATGGATCTTAACCTCACTTCAAAATCTGATGGTGGCCATCAACATTTTGGATTGCTGGTAATGTGGAATGAAAGGGATGCACATTGCATATATTATATCTACCTGATGGGAATGACACTATAAGTGCTAAGTGGAACACCAAAACCATCCTACTCAATGGAGGAGAGTATGTATCGGTTTAAGAAGTTAATTTCCTGCCTTAGTTTCTCCTTCTGTGATTTGTCCATATTCTGTGATTTGTCTATATATTACGTTCAACCCTGAATATCATCCAGTGATACCAGTACGTCTTTTTTAAGACCTTCTGGATGAAAGGTGAATTGGCCTGCTTTGAGTCCTCCTGATGTCCATTTCAGTTGCATATGATACTAACCCAAGGAAACAAGGTATTCACTGACCACATTTCCCTTTACAGTCAGTCTCTGGAGCCGTCAAAAATGCTGTTTCTTAGCAGTGGTTGTTTTGTTGTATATTTTCTAAAAAACCAAGGGAAAACTCTTCACCAATTCCCCAAATACTCAGCCACAGGTGAAGACCAACAACAATGAGTAAACAACTGTATTGACTGTAAATATCCTACTAGACTGGTAATGTCACATGTTATTTTTGTTAGAAATCTAGAGACCATTCACCAATCACCAGTCTACCCTCCATAAGAAAAGCCCTGAAACTATTAAACAAGGTGTCAAAGGTTGTGACTGAGGTATACAGTGAGGCAAAAGGGCTTTCTAAATCCAAACCCTGTTTTGAAATCCTGACAGAGAGGCTACAGTTCCCAGGATGAAGTGAAGAGGACACTCTGGCAGGGACAGTGCACTCCCTCGTGAGCTGTGCTGGCTCAGCTGGACCCAGGCAAGGAGTGGTCTTCACACAACATCACAGCTTTCAGCTCCAGCCACGAAAGGTATGGCTGTGGCTCTCCTGCCAGACATCCAAAACAGCAGGCTTCTCCTGTCAATCCTCAAGCATGGAAGCAACAGGAGATACAGTTCTTGCTCTGTTCCCTCTTGTCCATAACCCCCTCACCCAGCAACGTTGGCATGTGTTTGGTTTGGACAAATTGTCCAAAATATCCATGTCATTACTGCTTGTTGTGCATCCTCACTGGCAATTTTTGTTTGAACTAATTAATGATTAATGGGAGTGCTCTGTGTAATGCTGTTCAATGGCACTGAAGAGAAGAAGGAGCAGACAAGACTAGATGGATGCATCAAGATCTTTTTCGTAGCACTGTAAGTACCCTTCTAGTTTTCCCTTGGATTATTTGGACATTTTATTTTTGGGGAGTTACATTTTTGCCTGGGAAGGGCACCTTTGTACACCTAAAGAAGGGGATATAACTGTTATGGAAAAGTCGAAACATTTCAAAGGCCAGAGAGAACAGATAGTGAGAAGGCACTTCACATAATTAAATAAAAATTTGGTGTGGAAACAATACAGATGCCTATAGACTTTCTTACCACATTGATCTAGTGTTTCATCTTTGAAGAAACTGTAAGAGTATTTTGAAATTTTCGTGCTAGACAGTATGATCTATGTTTATGTCACATTTTTGTTTAACACAGATTTCATTTTCTAATTATTTGATGAATTGAGGAAGGCTAACAGGGCTGCAGTAACCATCCTGCAGTACTGAGTACAAAACCAACTCCTACCAGTTACTCTGGGGAAAACATCATAAGCTTCCAGTTATTTGCAAATTTTTTTAAAAAAACAGTCTTAGCCTAGGACTACTAATATGCTAACAATAAATTTAATAAACTTTTAGAAGTTTAAAATTACCTCTTTTGAGAGAGAACTAGGCTATGTATAGTGTATTAGCAGTCATATTCTTTCTAGGAAACACTGACATGCATCAGGAATGTGAATTATAAGTGTGTGGGACTTCAGAAAACAAAGTATGTTCTGAGAGCCTCATTTTACTTTGCCGAAGCATGAACAGATTAATTTCCATGCCATATTTTGTACATCTATTTCTTTTCCAGAAACAGCTAAAAGGAAAATGAAGCCCACCTTCTCCTTGTGTTTATTACTGGCTGCTTTGTATACTGTTGCCCAGTGTCATCAGCGCCCTCCCTACCGCAGTAAGCAGGATGGCACTAAAGGGACATATTATCCAGGACATAGTTCTCAGTGGGAAGGAGCTTATCCAGTTAAGAACAAAACCTTTGTCAAACTAGTTTTCAGCAATACTGACTTTGCATTTTCATTTTACAAGTTGGTTGCGTCCGAAGCAATGGATCAAAATATTTTCTTTTCACCCATAAGCATCTCTGCTTCCTTTGCAATGCTGGCACTCGGTGCCAAGTCAGTGACACTGACACAGATTCTGGAAGGGCTTACCTTTAACCTGAAAAAGACTCAGGAGTTGGAAATCCATGACAATTTTTGCCAACTCCTCCACATGCTGAACCGTTCAGACAGCGAGTTCCAGCTGAGCCTGGGAAATGCCCTTTTTATAGAAGAAACTCTAAAACCAGTACAGAAGTTCTTGGATGATGTCAAACACTTTTATGAATCTGAAGTCTTTTCTTCTGACTTTAACAACTCTGTTGGCGCTGAGAATCAGATCAACAGTTATATTGAGGAAAAGACAAATGGGAAAATTGTTAAGTTAGTGGAAAATCTTGATCCTCTCACTGCAATGGTCCTCGTTAACTATGTCTTCTTTAGAGGTAAGAAATATCAAAGGGTGCAAAGGTTGTAGCTTAGATATTTAATGCTTATTGCAGGGAATGAAAACTTAAGAGAAAAAAACTGGAGTTTAAATATTTTAAATTGAGGAAATCATTTTCAGTATCTTGAAAGTATTGCTATAAACCCATGTATGTTTGTTGACAGTAATAATGTTTAGTGAATTTTTAATACAAGTATCTTTCTTGAGTTTTGTAAATTCTTTAATGTGATCACAGACTCATGCTCTAGTGAAAGACAGTGCTTTCAGTATTATGTCTGTAATTGTCTCTAAGCACTTAAAAAAAAAAAGATACAATGCTATAACATCTGAGGATGCAGTAACATGAAAAAAAATTTGCTCTAATTGAAGGAAGGCTGTGGGACTGGATCCTGTTTTATTCACTGTGACCATTCCTCTTTGTATTCCACTGAATAAATTTTCTTTTTGTTATAAGCTCAGTGGGAGAAACCCTTCAGTACATTATATACAAGACAGGAGGATTTTTTTGTGGATCAGAAAACATCTGTAAAAGTTGACATGATGTATCGAAAGGGTTACTACAGAAATTACTTTGATGAAGAGCTGTCCTGTTGGCTGGTTCAGATATCTTACAAAGGAGATGTTGCGGCATTATTTATTTTGCCTGATGAAGGGAAGATGAAGCAGGTGGAAGATGCTCTCTTGAAAAAGACTGTATCTAAATGGGAAAAGTTCCTCCAAGACAGGTAAGATTTTTTTTGTTAAGGTAAGAGGTGACCACGCCACAGATTAGTAGTGTTTATCTCACCAAGACAAAACGATAAAGGCCAGGTTATTCTGCTGAACTCTGTACACTTACGGTTCCTCTGTGTGGACTTCTCTTTTCTTAGTTGGAAAATGAAAAAGAGCTATGACTAGTGAAAAAATAGGGCATTGAACTGGGGATCTATCTTGGGTTAAGTTCCTGGTTCAACCAAAAGTTACTTAGCAACATGATGAAGTTAACAGAAGCTTGTTTCATACAAGCATTGGGAAACTACGATAGAGAACCTATTGGATGTTAGTATGTTGTGGGCATTGTGTGTAAAAGCAGACTAATTCACCATTACTGCAGCTATTTCTGTGGTGGCCCAGGCCCTGTTGTATATTTGAACAGCCTTAGGGTAGCTAGATATGATCTTTTGAAAAAACACTCCTACTTGGCAGTAGTAGCTCTGTCTGTCATTGAGTTGGCACAGCTGTGTCTTCCCCCCCACTCCTTGAATCCCACCGTGAAGGCAGCAGTTAACAGGCTCATTCTGCTCCAACCCTCCACATTAAGTAGCTAACCTGATCGTAACTGGTATCTGGACCCTGAAAGAAGACTATTTAGTTAGAGTGTCAATATACTGAAGCCATTGAGGATTGTTACCTAGATGAAAATTTGTCCCTATTTGTGTTGTTTGTTACAGAAAAATACATCTGCACATTCCAAAATTTTCTATTTCTGGTACCTATGATGTGAAAAGGATAGTCAAACAAATGGGTATGATCGATCTGTTCACTGACCAAGCTGATCTGTCTGGGATTACTGAGGAGCCTGGACTGATGCTTTCAAAAGTAAGTAAGCATGTGAAAGCAACCACAATATTTGTCTGTTCCGAGGAACCTGGCGTTAATATTCCACGAAAAGCTTATCCTAGTCTCTCTGAAGCATCGCTCAATCATCAGCAGCTGCCAGTCTGGAGGCAAAGCAAGCCCTATCATTCATAAACCTGGAGAAATGCATGGTTCCAGGACAAGGAAGAAGACATACATATAATTAAATGTTCTTTTGGCTACTAAACAAAATTATCTAAATGTAGCACATTAGCTTTGGTAAAATTTCCTCTAATTCCTCCTACAGAGGGCAAAAGGCTGTTATCCCTCTCCTTCTAGTGTTCTCAAAAAGTTATTTTTTTCAGCTAGATGACAGGGTAAATTCACAATAATACATGAAGCTGCCAAAGACAAAATTGAGTCTAGGCTAAATTACCAGGTTTCTTTCCTTCCAGAGTTTCTTGCCATCAGTCATCTTGACTGCTCCTTGGCTGCCTGCAGTTTGAGGGTTACTCTCTGCACATGCATTGATGGCTGTTTGCACTGCCCTGGGGAGGGGAGCAACTGGTGATGACCTTCCCAGAGGCTGCTGCTGCTGGATCTCGCTCCAGGCAGGTTTCCCTTTGCCAAGAGTGAAGAGGGTGACAAACTGCTCTCTTCTGGCTGTGTTGTCAGCTGGAGGTTCTTTTGCTTTGTTCCTTGCAGGTGATTCACAAAGCCGTGCTGAATGTTCATGAGAATGGCACTGAAGCAACAGGGGTCACAGTGAAGGAGGTTACCTGGAGATCTGGTGATTTTCCTCGTCCGCCTCGAGTCAGATTCAACAGGCCCTTTCTCCTGGTGATTCTGGATAAACTCACCCACACTGTCCTCTTCGTTGGGAAAATTGTAAACCCTAGGAAAAATGACTGATTGACAAGACTTCTGCACATCGCTGGCTAAATTCCTGTGATCTCGTGAAACACTTATGTATGCATACCACTATGTAGTAGTGCTCATCTTTCAACCATTACCCTTATAAACATGATCACCCCTTAAAACATAAAAACAATTTTTCCTTGTCCAAAAGTCACATTTGCTCCAGCCTACAGCTGAGTATAGCTTGTAGTGTTAATGAAATACAAGTAACTTTTCACCGGTTTTGTAGGATGTCTTTTCTGACATGCTCCTGTGGGATATTCAGATTTTTCAAAGTCTCCAGATGATGTAGCTGTTGCTGTACAATCACAGCTTCTGCCTGTGAGAGGAGGAGAAGGGAAAGAGGGAAAAGAAGGTACAAGGTGTAAGACCTGTCTGTTTAATCCACTAACCTTTGATGACTATTCTTAAATACAGATCCCCTTAATATTGGAGTGAATTTTCATTAATTTCTTCAGGTTTTATAACGAAGTATGGCATGAAACTGCGGGATCAGTGACTGGGACACTGGAGGACACACCAGTGTAAAGAGTTGATGAACGTAGCTGTTTTAGCTTGCCTTCTTCTGTCTCCGCCTCAGTGGTAGCCTTCTTCATGGAGATAAGAAGGTTGCTTTTGCTTTACAGATAATGTTTATTCTACTAGAGAAGGAAGCCATAGCAGCACAGAGATTTCTGTTTTATCTTGCTAATATAGCTATTGCCAATGCCTTGAGATAAAAGTCTGATGGAGCAGTCCATGACATAGGACCAGTTTTCTTTTTATGGATTTGTTGTCACTGTCATTTCTCTTTTCTTCTACTAATGCTGCCTTCTCTATCACACTTTCCAGATAGACTTGTCAGACTGTGACAAGAATGAAAAATTATAGCTCCAGAGAGTTTGTATTTCCTCAGTAGGGAGAGCAGAGCTTTCCTAGGGACTGTTAACCTGCTTTAAGCTATCATAAACACACATAAAAAAATCAGAAAATATTTGAGAAGTCACCTTTCTAAATGTTAGCAGTGGATTATTATTATTATAGAGTAAAAACAGATCATGAATTGATATTTGTACCTTTCCACCTAAGGTTTCCTGACTCCAACTACACTAGATAGTTACATGGTTATGAAAGGAAAGAAACACAAAGCAGTAAATATTTAAAATTATTTTAGTATTTTTTTTTAGTTTTTTAGTCAACATCCTTAGCACATCTTACTAAAATATAGAAAGGCAATGAGAGTATTTAGATTATAGATTAAGTCTTTTTTTATATAACTCGAACTGGTGGAAAAAATATAAATGGCAACTTTTTAGATCTTAGTTTCTTAAGATATCTGTGAAAAATATAATTTAAAAATTATGGTGAATATTTCTAAAATACAATTTTTTTGTTTTGTTTTTTATTTTCTTTGACATTAAGTTAATGCTATCAATATAAATTAATTGTTGCTGTAAGAATATCAATAAGGAATAGAAAAAACATTCCATGTCTATCTGCAGACGTAACACTTGACATTCAAAGTCCTCCTGAAAATCACATAAACCAATGACAAAAGTTTCTTACTCATAACTATATTTATTATGTTCAGTATTTAGTAACAAACAGTTAGCTTTATATCTCTGGACATATTAGGACTTGGTCTAATACAGATAAACTGATTCTAAAGAAGACAATTTAAAAGTTCTTTGCAAATCTCAGGGCTAACTCAGGACTAGTTGCCAAAGTCCAACTTTGCAATGACAAATGATTTTGTAGGCAAATATCAAGAGACTATGTTTGTTGTTCCTCACGGACCTCAGATCAATAGTCTTCGTCTGTTAGTAGGAAAAAAATATCCAGATGGTATTTTACCGACCACATCTCACTTTGAGAGGTAACCTTGTTGCTTAACGCATGTGAAAGTGGGTAGAGAAAAATCAAGCTGATTTAAGAACTGGACAATTGAAAAATATCATGGTAGGGAATCATCTTCAGATGGGAGTAGGAACCATACATGAATTGCCTTGGTTTTCTTTCTAATTTGGCAAAAATCTGGTCATGCCCCTCACTTGAAAAATGCAACAAATTTTTATAGTAAATAATAAGCACAGAAGGATTGCACAACCCCCCCAAAACTGTCGGCATTAAGGTTGTCACAAATCCATTGCAATCATGGTTTGCTCAAGACAGTGTTTCTTCTTTCAATCTGCTGGTTTTTTGCTTCTTCTTTCCTGGATTTTTGTTTCTTGGTTGGCTCTCTGACTGTGAATTTTGTAACCAAGAAGCCTCAGTGCAGCCAAGGAATGACTTTCATCCTAGCTCTTCCAGAGTTGCTGCTGCTGCATGCAAGTACTTTGATGGGCCACTTCAATGCAGTGACATTGCTGGAGAATGGAGCCGGTCTGATGAACCGCATGAGGGATAAAGTGCAAAGGACACCTTCTAACCCAACCTGCATTGGTGCCTACACACAAATCTGATATGGCAATGCATGCAACCATACACATGCAGGAGCTGCAGCCTATGCGGACGCTAAGGGAAATCTGTTATGTAGGGGTGAAATCTTCTGTGAAGGCTGTTTTAGCTTAACAGCCAGAAAGGAAGAATTGCCAACATGGCAGAAGCTTTGGAACAGCACACACTGAGCAGCTCTCTGAAATAAGGAGAAAAGGAAAACAAGCAGTGCAGAAATAGCAGTAAACTGTATTCGTTGTCATAACTAGGAACTAGAAGCAGAACAAAGGCTAAAAACATAAATGAGAAGCTCTGAAACCCAGATTAATCCATGGTGGAGGTAGATTTAACTGCCATTTACAAACTATGTGAAGTTCAACAGACACTAGAAGAAAACCAGCAGCAACTTTGAGTAATGTTTAAGATCATAAAGAAGGAACAAGTATTGGGGCAGAGAGGGAAATAGCATGCTTGAAGTAAATCAAAGAAAATAAGCAGCATAATCACGTGTGCTCAGGGACCCTGAAGCAGCAGTTCAGAGCCCCATCAGGACCTGGAACCTCTATCAAGCCAATCTGGCAAGGAGGGGGCATTGCCAGGAGCATCCGCAGGACATTTAAATGGCTCTAGGGAGCACAGCAAACAGGGCATGGTGCATCAGAAGGATGTGGCGCAGCAGTTGAAGGCAAGGTGTGCGGAGAGGGTGCTGAAATCTTCAAGTAGACCCACAGCTCAAGTAAGTGCTAAGTGCTTCAGGTCTCTGCCATAATGGTGGGCACTCGCCTCAGAGCAAAACCCAGTGTGTCTATTTATACAGCCACTGAAAAGGCTGTTGCTTCCACCTAGATGGAACTGGTACGGAAGGAGATGTCAGTACAGGTGGTAGCTTGCAGTGATGTCCAGATACTTCCACTGGAGAAAAGGCTACCTGCACAAAGCGTGCACAGGTTGATGACCTGTTGTGGTAGGTGGATGAATTTCAAGAGCCAGTATCAGTATCAATATCAGTATCAGTATCAATATCAGAGGGGCTGAAACAGAGATAGATAGCATGGCTTCAGAACTGTACACCTACAATGGATACCACTGAGCTTGAGTCGCCTTGGATCCTGATAACCCAGAAAAGCAGGGCTCCAATCCAATGTCCACTCTCCATCATCCAAGACCAAAAACAGATATGCTTCAAAGGCTTTAGATGTGCACAGGCAAGGCCAACAAGGAGAACCTGCACCAGCACTGCACAGTGGTTACCATAAAAAGAAACTTTGAGTGATCATAGTGGGTGACTCTCTATTAAGGGGCACTGAGGTACCCACCTGCCAGCCTGACAAGGAGTATGCTACCTAGTAGGGGCTAAGATTCATGATGTTGTAGAGAGGGTACCCCAGCTTGTCAAGAACATGGACTCCTACTCTTTTTCACATGGATACAAATGATACCTCAAGGTAAGAAAAGGCCAGGATCGAAGAAGACTATGATGCCCTGATGAGGCAGGTGAAAAATATGAGCGCCCAAGTAATCTTCTTATCTATCCTACTGGTCAGAGAAATGGGGACAGCCAGAAGCAGGCACACAGTGCAGATCAATGTCTGGCTTCATGGTTGATACCATCGAGAAGGTTTTGGCTTTTATGTCAATAGGTTGTACTTTAATGATTTTAGCCTGTCTAAAATGAGCAAGAGAATTTTTGACAGCAGGCCAGTTTGGTGAGACAATCTTTAAACTTAAGGTCACAGGGGATGGAGTCTAAAGGGGTAGTGCTCATGCCATTGCTTCCTCCTGGGGAGTATGCCATACTAGCCAGTGCAGTGACATCACTGGCAGATTCTCATCTTGACTACCTGTGTTATTTTATGTGGCACTTTCACAGAACAAGAATATACCCAGTCCTCTCATTTGTCAAGGTCTTTCTGCAGGTCCTCCCTGTCTTCGAGGGAGTCAACAGCTCCTCTGGGTTTTGTGTCATCTGCAAATTTGCTTAGTATCCCTTTCAGTCCTATGTCCAAGTCATTTATGAAGATGTTGAAGAGCACAGATGGAGCCTCGTGGAACCCCACTGGTGACAGGTCACTGATCTGATGTTACCCCAATCAGTATTACCCTCTGTGCTCAACCAGTGAGCCAATTGGGCACCTGCTTCATGACATGTTTATCCAGCTGTGTGCTGGACATTTTGTCCAGAAGGATTTATTTGCATAGTCTTTTGTTTAGGTACTTTGGTGGATATATAAGTCTTCAAGTTTTTGACTCTTGCATGTCCTTGAGTCTTTGGGATTGGCTTGTGATCTTTCTTCCCCAAGGCAAGCTCACGTGTAGGAGACGGCAGCTGATGTGACACAGTCACTTCTTGCTCCTTCTTCCTTATTTTGGGAGTATGAGGCTCTCTCTGCACCAAGCCATGTAGAAATTGTAGAGCATCGCAGCAAAAGGAGTTTCTTTCCTGAGACATATTTACATCTGTTCTAATTGCGGCCCCAGTATCTGCTCAAAGACTGCTCCCTTCCAAGCTCACTGAGATGATGACTACCTCTCTCTTTTCAGTTATGTAGATCTGGTATGCTAGATTTAAACCCAATGTTTAGTTCAGTCATCCAACTCATTCAATACAGTCCTATGAATCATAAATGAAACTCAGAGCTATTCCAATCTAAGATGACTCACTTTTTGGCCAGTTTTTGGATAATATAACGTGGCGGTTCCTTAAATAATTCACTTTCTTTACTAAAAAAAAGAAATCAGGAAAAAGACAGAGGACAAAAGCACAGCTGGGGTAAACACAGGTAGTTTTAGTACTTGTTTCTTTAAAAAAAGTATCTTTTTTGTAGTTGTATTGCTGTACAGATGAAGGCACTACAGATATACATTTTAATTTAACACAGGAAAATGAAAAGAACAAATTTGTTTAGAGGCAGTAAAAGTGGTCACATAAGTCCTCTATTTCTGTTTTTTAACAGTAAAGACTACGTTTATCTAGTTTCTTTTTTACTGACTGATTCCCCAAATGTTCTTCCCCTGATCCCCCAAGAAATCCAACTCCATTTTCTTTTCAAGGCACTCCAGTTGGATGTGATATGTGTGCTTTGGATGGAGATGGAATTTGGGTGGGGGAAGATGATGAAAGGTCAGAAGAAGTTTAAAGGGAAAACAGCCTCTCTAAACACTTCAGTATTCATGGAGTTTGGCAACGCTGAACTAACCACTGAGACCTAAGCCTTGTATCTCATTTCTGTGGGCAAAAACAAAGAATTATTTTTGGCACTCTGTGGATTTTAGGGGTGTTCCAATCTTTCTTTAGAAACTACTTCAAAGACATTAATTAAAACCCCTTTTTTCCCCTCATTGTTTTCACACTGGACTTCGAGTTCATAGATCTGAACTAGCATAAAGTTAACCTCTGTGACAAATATTGATGGCTTTCTGTGCAGAGATGGGTGATTTTCATGATGCTTTCTCACTCAGATGTCAGTTCGATTCCTCGCTTTCTTGTAAATGACAGCCAGCAAATAACAACTCCATTGTGTGATTAGGTTTCACTCCCACATACTAACTGGACACTCCACTAAATAGTACAGTTCGAGAGCTGGAAATTACCTACACATCTCCTGGAAAGCAGCTATGCAGTTCAAACCTGTGGGGAAAACATACTGGCACACTTGTTGGCTATGTTCTCCTGAAAAGCAAAATATGTTGTATAGAGGACAGTATTTAGAAATATAATGTTTTAATGACTGATTATGATCCCAAAGTTTTAATGTTTCTCTGCCATATTGATTATAAGGTTGCTCCAAGAAACCATTGGATAACATGGCTGGACAGAAGTTGAACAAGATTTTATTATTGAGTGGATGCATGTGTTTTGTTAGAGAAGCACAGACTGCCTCTCTCTTGCTTTTCCACTTCAGTCTCTTTCTGGCATTTCCAGTGCTCTGCTCTCCACTAAGTAGATTGAGAGTCACTGCTCTGGGTTTCCTCAGATGCAATCGCTCCAGGAGTCACTGCATCAGGGACTTCCCTTTACACTTCTGCCATCCAGTCTCCGTTCCTATGAACTTCCCCCACTTTCTTTACAGGACTTTCACAAAGACCTGCTGAATTTTGCTGGGAAGAACACAGAGAGTGCACTAGCCAGGGCTGATGAATATAGATTTAGTTCTTGTCCTCTCAATATTTAGTGGTTATCATTGATTGCAACTGTAAGTTGCTCTCTGTAGTAAAAAAAAACAAACCAGAAAACAAAGAACAGAAAAAAAGGAAACCTTGGCTCATAGTTTCAGGTTTGAAAATCCATGTAAGGCATGGTGGACATTGACATGTGAACAAAACAATCTTATTTTTAAAGTATAAATGAAGATGCTATAAACATTAATCAATTACTATCTCTGTGTAGATCTAATCCTGCCTTAAGCAGTCTATCTATGTGCTTTACTTGGAGCTTTTGCACCCTGAAACAGTGGTACATGTTGGAGGTAATACAAGATTAGGATCTTGTCCACACAGGTTTTGGTTTCTCGTGTGACCCAAATTTTTGCCATGATCAAGCAACAGAAATATGAAATTCGTATAGGCATTGCCAATGCTAAACTTGAAAGTAGCCTCTATCAAAATTCAAAATGAAGAATATGTTAATCTTATTGACCGAGACCTGTTTTTACATTGTATGGGAGAAGCAGAGTCTGTATGAGAAGACAACATGAAATTCAACTACACAATATTTGAAAAACAAAGAAAAACTTCAAGGAATGACCTTTATTTTATATGCATACATGCATCACTAGCCAGCTGTACAAACAAATAATGTGCCAGCAGCATACTGTCAGATTAAGCTGGGCTAATTAAACCTTATTACTTTGTTAGGCATGGCTCATTAAATAGCCACTGTGTAACTGCTTACAGAAATCAGCAATGCTTACAGTCCTAACCAAGTGAAAACATGAGGCTAGAGTTTTCTTTAATATTGATTATGAAAATTCACATGGTTTTCTGCCTTGGAAGTATAAACACAATACACCAGATCAGAATGACCTTGCACATGAACTGTGTTTATATTAGAACTAAGAGCAAAATTGTGTTCCTTTAGAGAAAAATGAAACAAGCCAGTGAGAGACATTTAGTGCATCCAGAGCCTGTGTGTGCATGTCTTACGTAAGATTTTAGGTTGCTGTTTTTAAAAAGCCTCTTTTAAACCAATCATTCCTACTTAAAAAAAAAAAAAAAAGATTAAATAACAACTGCTTAGGATCAGTAACACTTTTTCATGGACAAACGTTCTGCTAGCATAACTAGGATTTTTAAAGTTAGAGTTTTAAAATTACGCTCTTTTAGTAACAGCTGGGGTCCTGCATAAAAACATAACTTGGCCAGCAAATATCAAACACCTTAACATTTCTTTCAAACATCTGCCAAATGTAGTCATGAAGTACAGATGATTACTAAGACATTTTTGGTTTGGTTCATAAACATGGATTTAGAAAATCTGTTTCCAGCCGTTCTGGTTTGAGGAGTTCGCTTTCCACATGATACAGAAAACTGTGTATTTAGTACATAAATTCTACAGTTTTCCTTGAAATCAATAAATACAATACATGGAAAGGAAATATCTCCTTTCTTTCCTGAGGCTTTAGAGCTGAGCTATTATTTCCAAGGCTTAGTAATATGGAAATGGTAACACAACTATTTTGAACACCTCTTTATAACCGAGTTGTGTTTCTCACTGCACTCCTCTAGTTGGGAGTGTCTTTACATAGGTAACTATTAAAAGAAAACTAAGGAAAATCTTGAATACACTTTCAAATTATGAAATACCAAATTTTTATCCTGAAGTAATGGTTTTAGTGGCAGTCAAATACTGAACTTCTGCTACATTATGTTTGAGTGACATATGAACCCCAGTTTTCCATAGATTAAATGGGAATCATAGATCTGTGTTTCTTCTGAGTAATTTGACAATGCCATTCATCATCTGCAGCTTCTATTACCATTGCTTGAAATGGATATGTTTACCTCTCATATTATGCAAATTATTAAAAACTCATTAGAGTAACAAGCTCCTCATTAATCTCCATCTACAGTATAAATGAGCAGTGGGCTCTGTCAAATGGTATAAGAGAGTTAAAAAAGGTATTTTTAGGAAAATAAATGCAGGGAAAATTCTTATGTGAACCACTACAAGGCTGACCATGGCTTACCTTCCATGCATTTTCCTTCCCTTGCTGAATTGAAGGTCAGGGGCAGGCAGACCTTTCAGTCCTGTTGTAAGAACGGAAATTAATGGGAAAACCTGACTGCAACCAAGTATATCTTCAAGACATACTTTAGGTAAGTTCTTCAACCTAACACTGAGTCTGCTCCAGAGCCACCACCCCCAACTCCCCAACAATGACTGCATCCTCTCAGCTAGAGTTTGGTGCCAGAGTAAGCAGTGGTGAATTTTGGCAATACATATACCATCTTTTTGAATGGAACATGAAGACAGCCTTGGGGCAGCCAATACATCTGTACTAGAAATATGTTTTATAATGTGCATCTTATAGATCTGGAGTGGGGTGGCTGTGACTGCTCTGCAAACATTTGGTCCAGGTCCTTCCCCAGCCAAGACTGACACTTTGCTGCTTTGAGGCAGTGCTACTGATTTTCTTTCAGTGTCCAAAACAAGAGGAATTTTGTAACAGTCCTAGAAAATGTTTCTATAGAATGATGCATTCAGGGGGCATGGCCAGGGCTGCCTGCAAGGCATGCTGAGCATTTGCTGATGAAAGGAGCTAGGCAGCTTGTAACAGAAGTGCTGGAGTCAAATAGCACCAGTACAGTCACATGTTTAGGAAGGAACTAGGGTGTAAAACAAAGTACACTGCTAAGCACCTTTTGCAGGTTACTCTCTCCAGAAACAGGCCCTGTGGTGGACCAGCTGTTGGCTTGTAGAACCTCCGCTGACCTCCCTGGTAGGACAATGAACCTCTTCTTCAAGCCACCACCTCTTGAGAAATAAGATAAATGAAGCAAAGAGAGGCAGATTTTTAAAGAGTTTCAGAATCGATCCATGTTGACTTTCAACAAGAGACTAATACAGATGAATGTCTGAACAGCAAAAACATTTGTGTTTGTGTCTCTGACACAGTTTTCTCACTGTATTGAAGCATGTTTTTGTTCACCTCAGAGTCATGCAGGGAATCCAGGATCAGCCCCAACCCTTGCATATAATTCTTTACAGCACTGAGTCTCTCTCCTGTTACTTTCCACTTCAGCTGGCCCTGCAGCTGCACAGTGGACTCCACTGCCCAGGCTTCCTCTTCTGTTGCGACTAAACCAAGGCTCAAAGAAAGCCTCAGAGTGTGAGACTGTTTCTGAACTGCTGCCAAGTTCATTTGGGGAGAAAAAACAAGTTTCACATCAATTACCTTTTCTGCTCTTTCCATAAAAGAAGAAGTTAGCTTGGTTTAGCATGTTGTAACAGATCCCCAAGCTGCATGATCAAAAAACTAAAGCCCCGGTGCAGGCCATAACACACCTCACGAGATGTTTTAGCATTTGTCTCACTAGCTGGCAATAAGCTAGAAAGGTGTATGCGGTAGTATGACTGCCCATGGCCATGGACCTCTCCTCTTCAAAGTGTGTTTGCAGATGGCAATTATGCATGTTGGGGACAGCAAACATAAAAGCCAGCTGGCCCTGCGATCACTGACTTCTACCTTCTCTGCATGTCTACATCAGCATTTATCTGTGTCTTCAGATAACTATTTTTTAATGCATGTAATGTTTAACAGAAGTGTAAATGTTTATGAGGCCAAGACAACTCACTGGCTTCTGAATGGTGACCAGTGGGGTCTCTGCTGTGCAGAAATAAAAGACATGTTGACACATAAGTGGAGTCCAGTAGTTTGGGTAGCGCATGGCTGAGCACAAGTGCTCCTTGCAGCTCCCTCACCCTGGTCTTCAGAGCTTAGTGCTGGGCAAAATTGTGTCTCCAGATGAACAGTTATATCCATCTCAGGTAGCATATAGGGCAAAGTAGCTGCTCTTGGCACCAAAATTTCATTTCCAATAAATATTTGCTTACTCTTTTGGATGTAACACTCCACTCTACTGACCAGCTAGGCCCCATGGTCTTTGCTCTCTGTTTGGAGTGAGGAAATGTGGACAGATGCATATAACATCCAAGAAAACTAGCTTCGTCAGCATTCACCTTTGTGCTTCTAGGTAATATGTATTTGAAGCCATTTAATGTTTAACAGAGGAAAAGAGCAGTATGACTAAAGCAGCAAGAAACAGCACAACACCTATGAGAGCAAGAGCCTTCTGAATGTAATGTAAGTACCCAGTTATCTTTAACTTAATGATTTTGATGCAGCTATCTGGCCTTTAGCTAAGTGAGTCATAAAGCACATCTGCTTTCAAGGATGAAACCTGGTTTCTAAGCACTCAAATGACAAGTGAACTTAATTTCGAGAAATATTGAATAGTAAATTCTGGGGATATATTATAACAGCTCCACAAGTATAACTGCTATTTTTCCCAAATAGCTCAAAAACATCTAGAAGAAATCTGTTTAAATAACAATGGGGAAGTATTATGACTTCTTAACTGTCAATCTTATTTACCTTTACTAATTTTCCCTAAAGCTTACAACCAGATAACCAAAACTGAAGTGAAGGAGTAAATGACTTGCACCACAGTGGTCCAAACAGAATTCACAAGTTGATTTTGCTATGCCAGCTTCCCCTGTAAATCCCAATTTACTCAGATCACATAGAGCAAAGCTGCAGAAGGACAAGCTGGCTCCTTTTCACCCAAACTTTAGTGGTCAGAGTGCTGACATAGGGTGGGGAAAGTACCAGTAAACCTCTCATCTGCTCTGCTGAACCCATGGCTTTGAGTGCCTTTACCACTGATTCAGGGGTGAGCAGGTAACTCACGATCATCTGCCCTGCAGCTGTTCCGTTTCAAGTAGTACATTAGGTGAAGGCTATTTGGAGTTACTTTTCTTGTCATTGGTACAATCTTTTTAATGGAAATAGCTCTTACCTGTTTTCTGACACGTTAAGCATCTTAGATACTACAAATCATCCCAGCATGTTCTGGGTCTAACTGGTAAAAGAGAAAGCAGTAAGCAAACAAACAAAAAATCAGGCCCAGTCACTCCAAATGTCCAAGATGCCATGATCCCACCTCACTGCTGAGCACTACTCTGGCTATAGGCCCATTTACCTTACAAAAGGAGACTTTCCTGCTGATACCAAGCTTGGAAAGACAGGAGAGGCCAAGCCCACACCAGTGACCTCACCGTCCCATGACCAGATGTGTTCCTTCCTGTGTGTATCCCCCATCTGGAACATGTTACATGAGTGGTCATTTAAAGTAAGCAAACATATTTTAACCTAATCAGGTATTGAAGCAGAAAAATTTTACCAGCTCTCATGATTAGTCAGTTTGTATGCTTAAATGAGTCAGGAAAAAGAGAAAATATCACTTTTGAATGCTGCAATCTCATATTGTTTTCCATTGACATTGAACCGTCATTTAACATAAGCCTCATTCAATCCCAAATAACATAATAATCCCAAGAGTTCTTAAGAGATGAACATAAAAGAATTAATCACAATGCTTCTGTTGTGCTGCCTTGCTATAAAATGGATTTACACAGAGACAAAAGAAAAAAAAAGCCTTTTCTCTTGTTCTCCCTCTCTAACTCTTATTTTTCTTTAATAGTCACTTGTTTCTTTCTTTCTCCCCGTTTCTTTCTCCAGTAACAAGGAACTTTTGTAGCTGGAGTAAAGCAGAACTGAAGTAGGTGGCAACAGAATGGATAGGAATTACAGATAAACTCAGAAGCAAATGATTTAAAAAAACGCTTCCATAGCAAAGGAGCAGGTCAGGAGATAACAGTGATTACCAGTTGAAGGCAGTAGCAGATAGAAACAAAAGATGAGATGTCAGTACAGCTGACCTCCAGCATCCAAGACCATTTTACTCTTTGTCCATGCAGTAGCTGTGAAGAAAGATGAAGGCCACCCTCCCACTCTGCTTTCTGGTGGCCTTGCTTCACCTCAGTGTTCACAGCCTGACTGAGACTGACCACCACAGTGACCAGCCCAATGCAACTGAACCCCAGGAGCAACATTCCCATGAGGGAGATCCTCTTGAGTCCTGCCAGCGGATAGTCCCCAGCAACACAGACTTTGCCTTTCGGTTTTACAGGCAAGCAACCATCCAAGAACCTGGCAAGAACATTTTCTTTTCCCCAGTCAGCATCTCTGCTGCCTTTGCCCTTCTGGCCCTGGGCTCCAGAGCCACCAGCCAGGCTCAGGTGCTGGAAGGACTGGCCTTTAACCTCACCCACACTCGGGAGGAGGAGATACATGATGGCTTTCGTCATCTCCTCCTCTTGCTGAACCGCCCTGGCAACCAGGTGCAGCTGAGTATGGGGAACACCCTGTTCATGGACAATCACCTGAAGCCACTGAAAACATTTCTGAAGGACATCAAAAAGCTGTACAGAGGAAAAGTTGTTTCTAGTAACTTCCAGAATTCCACTGAAGCTAAAAAAGAGATCAATGATCATGTAAAGAATAAAACCCATGGGAATATAAAGCAAATACTTGAAGAACTTGATCCAAACACCCTAATGGTAATTGTTAACTATATTTATTTTAAAGGTAAGTTACATAGATGCTACTTACTGCAGCACCTGCTTCACCCGCACTAAAACAAATATGCCAAATTATTTTTGAATAATTTTTAAAAGAAAGGCAAGTGTTTAGAGGAGGCTATCATGAAAAAATATTGAAAGTTCTCACACTTTGAAATGTCTTCCATGCCTAAGTTTTTCTACCATATGCCTAGACTTCTAAGAATAAAAGTCCATTTATTTGCAATCTTCAATAAAGGGAATTGCCAGAGCACAACAGATTCATGCATAGTTAAATTTTTCCATCAGACTTCAACTACTTATTATTTTTAAAATTAAAATCTTTTCACATGCTGTATGAAGTAGAAAACTAAATTCTAAAAATGCTAATTAACAAAAATTATAAAAAAATTTAATTTATTTACAGTCCTTGTCTAAAATGGGTAGGTACCTCTAGAGTTGAAGTCTAAATGTTTTACAACTTGTCATCACATTATATATATTCCAAGAGGTATTTGTGAATGCATTACTTTGGCAATGATTAACTTCTTAGATGTTATATCCATTTGTAGCAGCATGCAGGACGCACATGGAATTTCCACTCAGAAAAGAATGTTTAGAAATAGATGAACTTTCAGCAAAACAGATTTTATTTCAAGTTCTTAAATTAAATTTGGATGCCCTAGTCTCAGGCGCCTAGTCTGAGTACCGTACCAGAGTATATTTCTTTTCTGGAGGGCAATGAGGAAAGGTTATAAAGCAATCAGAATACTGTGGAGTTAACATTCCATTATTTATTTTTCAAATTTAGTTTATTTCTAGTCAATATTAAAAAGAACATACTTACAGAATGGCAAGCTGTAATCCCTGTCTATTTGTTTCGCGAGTGATCTGTTTTAATACAAAATAAAATATCATAGAAAATTCAGTTCAATAAACATCAAGAGAAAACCACTTTGAAGATCAAAGACCTGGAAGCCCTGTTCCATTTACCATAATGCAGTTATGTTCAGGACCAAAAGTTCGGGTTGCTCTGGCATTTAAGCTTTTCCTTAGTGCTACAACATGAGGAACATGAAAAAGCATGTAAGGAGCTTAACATGTTACCTTTTAAAGGGCAGACATCTGCTGTGAAACTTGCTTTACAAGCAATATTCTGAAAACAGACAGTAACTCATTGGATCCTGGTCAGCTTTCATTTGCTTCAAATAAAACATAAGGTAATATGAGGAAGTTACTTCATGTAATTCATCTGACTTAGAAAGGTGTTGTACAAGTCCCTACAAAATTTAACCTGAGATATTTAGTTGTTGCTGAACATAGTACAGCAAAGATGACAGGGAACAAGACCTTTAGTAAACTCGTAACACGTTTTATCTTCAAGTAAATGTTCAGATACGGGTTTATCTAGTGTACGTTAGTCTAGACTTTACTAAGATATCCTCCTTGAAGTAAGTATTCAATTGCATTATTTCTCTTTTGGTTTTAAGCCTACTGGGAAAATCCTTTCAGTATTAGGGGGACCCGCAAGGATTATTTCCATGTGAATGCGAAGACCTCAGTTGAAGTGAAGATGATGACTCGAGATGGATTTTATAAAGCATACTCTGACAGGAAGTTGTCTTGCGAGGTGGTGCAGATTCCTTACAAGGGAGATGTTGCAGCACTGTTTATCCTGCCCAGTGAAGGAAAAATGAAACTGTTGGAACGTGGCCTGACAAAAGACACAGTGTCTAAATGGGAAAAATCACTTCAAAGACGGTAAATATAGAATTTTGATTTGATGATTCGAGGTAGTCAGAGTCCAAAGTCTGAATACTATGATCAGGTTTTACAGTTACAAGCCTGTACTGTTAATGGGAGGTTTAAGCAATGGAATAAGTGTAAAGGGTCAGACCAAGTGATTTGATGATTTGATACTTTCAGCAGAAATTAGAATCAACATTACCTTGTGGTAAGGGAAGAGGTCTGTGAGGTGGAAAATTAAATTTTTTTCCCCATATATTTTCTAGTTGATATTAAGTGTCTTCATTTCTCTTGTCTTAAGCACATTAACATAATGCAGAGCAGCCAGATCCCTCAGAGGGAATGGAGAGTGAATTCCAAAAGAAAAACCATCAAGGTTATAAAAGGAATGCAAATTTAGTCCCAAAAATGCTGGCAGCACCACTGCTTGTTGTCTTACCGTGTGACTGTGTTGCAGAATCATACAAGAAAGCCCAACTGATATTTTTCTCCTTCCATACTTTCCTTATGCTCCAGACTATCATCTTCCCATCTTCTTTTTCTTGCCATCTCTTTTAGATTGAAAGACTAACATTTTAGCACAGAAGAACCACCAACAAGTTGGGAATCTTCAGTCCAAGGCATGCTTTGATTGCAATAACTACCATAATTTTATTTTGAATTAACAGGAGGATAGAAGTGCATATTCCAAAACTGTCAGTTTCGGGCACCTATGACTTAAAGAAGATCTTAATGAATCTGGGTGTAACTGATGTGTTTTCTGATCAGGCTGATCTGTCTGGAATCACAGGAAATCTTGATGTGAAGGTTTCAAAAGTAAGTTTGTCAGTAGAAACAATAGCCTCTGGATTCCTTAACACCTGAGTGCTTTACCCTAAGCTAAGTTGTGAAATTTTACTTATTGCTAGGGCTGGCTGATACTCAGGAATAGAACATTTAGCTGATAAAGTCACTGTAAACTCTCTCAGACTTCTCCAGGATGTGGAGATAAGATCTATCTTTTGTCTGACAAGCAAAGGTGACCGGGGGGTGGAGAGGTGGGTTTAGCACTTTACCGGAAACAGAACACAGTGCATTTTCTGCATGTGAAAGAAGTGTCCATGGATAACTGTTGGGGATGTCTTGTATCAGCATATCTACCAGAAAAAGCAGCCTTTTTCCAAGATTCATTGTATAATTTTAAAGGATTTAAAAACTGATGTTACTATCGAAGGCTCTGATGAATGCTAATAATGTAAGATGGACCAGACTTGAGGAAAACATCCCATTTACTGAACATAATGTGAAGACAAAGACTAGTATTCTTACAGCCATTCTGAAAGTAGCACTTACAATGTTCTAACATCTTGGGGCTAGCAAAAGAAAAATATTAAAAATACTCAAAAATAATTTAATAAAAAAATTGGTATCAAGGTTGTAGTCTACTGGCTAAACTGTATTGCATGTGCTGTTAGCAATACATACAGAGTGGTTCTGGAGCCTGACTTCCTTTCCCTTTGAAACTGTCATTCCTTGTGAATTTGCTTGAGTATTCAGTTAATTCCACAAGGTGTGCAGTGGGTAAGGTCTGTGTTGTATATGCTTGTGGTGAGGAACACTGAATGTGAGAATACTTGCTTATTGAGACACCATTGCTGAAAAACCCACCATGAGCTGTAGTGCCCTCCTTCCTGGTTCCTGGCCCACCAGCAGTTTTTGTGAAAGGTAGTAGTTGAATTAACTTAGTGTTACTTTGAATCATTTCACAGCGCATCCTCCACATACATTAATTCTTGCTGTATTTTATTGTAGGCTGCTCACAAGGCCCTGTTGAAGGTTCATGAGAATGGCACAGAGGCTGCGGCAGTCACTGGCATAGATTTTCTTCCTCATTCTGTTCCTCCTGTTATTAAGTTCAGCCGTCCATTTTTGCTGTTGATTGTTGATCAATATACTCAGAGCATCCTCTTCATGGGAAAAATTGTAAATCCAACTGAAAAATGACTGGTCAGTGACTGGTCTGATTGATTTGAATTGTATTTTATAAAATTATCATTCCTTGTGTTTAAAATTATATCAAAACAGCTACTAACAATTTTCTTTTTCCAAAGAAGTCAGGTAAGAGTGTGTCTTTCTTAAAAACACTGTTCTTGCTTTCTCCTTCTGTAGAAAGTAACAACTGACATACATCTGTTAGTGAATTATGAAGAATTTTGTAAATCAGCCTTTTAGTGATAAGTGCTGTGTTTGAAAAGCAAGGTAATATTCAGCCGAGACAATCAGTTTAAAACACTGTAAATAAATAAAGTATGAATTAAGAGGCCATGTCTGATTTGTGGGTAGGAAGGAAAGAAAGTGCTGAGGTTTGCTCCAGCTGCTGCTGGTTCTCACCAGGCCCTGGTGCTGAAGGGCTGACGTGGAAATTTAAAATACAAACATAGTCCACTCAGGAATACTTTAGTTCTTCTCTTCCCTGTGAATGTTATTGATGAAAAAAGTCATGTTCTATTTCCACGAGAAAATGATTTCTCCCCTCTCTGAGGATGTCTGTGTCAATTTGACACACCTTTCCTAACGCAGCCTTATGAATCCAAGGCAGTGTCAAAATCCAAATCCAAGACTTGGCACTTGAGAAGATATTGAGCAAGACAAGAGATGGATGCTGACAGAAACACAGCCAGTCTGGTGTGATGTCAGCTTGACTCCCTCCCTGTTCCATCCTGTGGGATCAAACGCAGATGCTTAAGAGTGATAAACACATTTAACACTGCTCAGGGGTATAGCAGCATGGACTGAGGTTAAAAAACCACTCTTCTCAGTGTGTTGGACCTGATTCAATTTCTTTAAATATAATGAAACAGGTGAACAGGAATTTAATTTTTTTAATCAGAAATTTGAGTCGATAGTGTCATGAGGTCAATTTGATAATAGGGCAATTAGTACCAAAGAAGGAGCTACTCTCTAGAGTTCAATCTCTCCAAGGTAACTGTTACCTACCCACACCAGTCTGTGCAGTTAGAGAATCTGCCTTGAGTACAGGATATTCGGGAACATTCATGGTCAGACGTACCCCTTTCCTGAAGGCAGACAGTCTCACACCTCCAACATCCTAAACTCCAGGCTGGTCAGGCCAACCCTTGCAAAAAGAGAGCTAGCATCGGACCTGAAATTCTGGCAAGGATTTTTGCCAGGAAGATGGAAATACAGGCCTGCCCTTCCACAGATGGAGAATGGGTTTGGTGGATAAATCCAAACGAATTCTCTGCAAAATACACTGTTGAGTAGGTAACAGCTGAAGCAACTCTAGCTTCTGACATTGGTAGGGTTTCCAGTAAAAGGAAGGCATAGCTGCAAACCACACCTTGGGAGAGTCAGTCACTTTCAGACCATGCCTAGGCGCTTCCTTTGAGGGTCAAGTCTTTTGCTATACTCCCCTTTATGACATTCACAGCTGGTGGCATCCATCCACAATGTCTTGGCTTCTTTGAGTCCCCCTTTAAGTAAGAAATGCTACCTAAACATCCTAAGTGGAAGCAGTGGCTAAATTAGAGCTGGGGAATACTCTAGTCAGCTAAATACACAAAAAGTATTACTAAAATTGTGTTATAGACTTGAGAATGTATTTCTTGTAAATAGAAGTTTCTCCAAATAGAAGTTCAGAAGCAATAGGGTACGAATACCTGGAAGGAATAAAACAAACATTGAGATTAATCATATTTCCGGAGTTTACATCTATGTTAGTAAATAAAGTGCTCCAAGATCTGTTCTCTGACCATGAGGTCAAATGGCTCATCACTGCTTATATCCACATTGCTTAACTCTAATCCTGCAAGTCATCCAAGCTGCTTATTGGAAATACCCCCTGGCTTGTGCTAACTCCAAAAGCATGCTTAGCACTTGTTTGGAAGAATCACAGATGGTGGCATGCGTCTGAAACTCCCATGTCCTTAGCATAGATGCGTTTTGGTGGTTTCTTCTAAATAGTCCTGTGCATTTGTTGTCACAGTAACTGTGCATGCTTATTTTCAAAAGGTTGCTCCTCATTAGGAATTTATGCTGGTCCTCAGATGATACAGCAATGCTGTGATGATGTAGATACCTTTAACATTTCACTGATGAGCACATAGAAACTATCATGAAGCACAAGTTTAATTCTACTACATTGTAATATAAATGAACTCAAAGGCAATTTAAAATGTGATAGAACTTACTGTGAAAGCATAGGCACTGTCCATCATCTATATCCATTCCTTAAAAATATTGAAACCAAGCTTTTTGCTACGATCCAGAAAGTATGTCACTAGTTCAGAGACCTAGCTGCTTGCTAGGTGCAGCCTTACACTTCAAACTGGAATGAACTGGCAGAAAAAGGCCATTGGAGATTCTCCCTTGGCAGGTGGACCCCTTCTTGAGAAAGACTCAGCACCCAAAGCCAATGTCACGCAGCTGTCCTTCCAACTGTGCAGAGGCAGGCAGAGATGGAGGTGATAAAGTGCATAGCTCCTCACTCCTCAAATCTGACAGTGATGTTAAATACAGCAGACCATGGCTGCAGTAATACCACTGCCAAACTAGTGTGGAGTCAGACAGATATAACCAGATCCCAGGTGATTAATTTAATCTCAAAGACAGTGCCAGACTAAAGGCAAACTCATATTTTTTGATTGCTAAAAATTTTTAGAAGTTATTTTACTGGCGAGTCAGAAAGACAAATGTTGCTATAATCTGATAAAGCTATAGAGGTTCTCAAAGGGCCAGATGGATGAATTTAGGAGTTGTTTCCGGAATGGTACCCAGATATGAAATCTACTTACAATTAGATCAAGAAACTTTGAATTGATTCTGCTTTTTCTTTATACATAAATGCATAATACATGCAATGCTCCTTTCCTGCGTGTGAGCCTGTTGTCCCTGACTGTCAACAGTCCAGTGGCCACAAGTAGTGTAAGAAAACTAAGCACCACAGGAGCAGCAACCCCACAGCGGAGATTCTTTTGGGTCCTGCAAATGGATAGTCCTCAGGAACACACACTGACTGCCCAAGAAACTGGCAAGAGTGTTTTCTTCTCCCTGGTCAGAATCTCTGCTGCCTTTGCTCTGCTGGCCCTGGTCTCCAAAGCCACCAGCCAGGCTAAGGTGCTGGTCGGGCTGGGTTTTAACCTCACTGACACTCAGGAGGGCACACCACTTTTCATTTTCTATCATTTATTTTAATTCTGGGAGTTACATGTGTCATGTCTAAGTTCTTGTACTGTTGCACCTTATTAAGGGGTTTGATCTGCAGTCTTAACTACTTGAGTTTGATGGAAAAAGAAATTCAAGCTACGATTCAATTTGAGAGCAAAATTCTGGCCTTGCAGTCTACCTACTATTATTAATCTTTTCCCCTATTTTATTGAAGTGATTTTTATAAAACTTATAACAGCTATTTTGAAAAGCTTTGGTAGTGTCAAGTAGGTCTATAACACCAATATCTTCATCTGGGAAGATATTATGGAAAATACATCAGTATAATTTGAGATGAGCTGTCAGTGACACATTAACCATCTTGCAAAGCTCTTTTACCGACAGTTCAGTTCAAGCCCAAGAGTAACAAAGTCCATGGTCTTTCTCTCCCTTTAGAGCCCTAGGTGCTGGCATCATTCTGCCTGTGTAACGGGAAACAAAGGACTTACAGTGATTGATATTCAGAAAAAAAATAGCTTACTCAACCTTTGCTTTGCAAATAAATCTTATTTGCCCTGTTTAATATTTACCAGTGGACATGAACTTAATATTAAAAGCAAATCAAGAATAGGAAGCACTGTGAAAGGTCGGTCCAGCATGGTAAGTACCATATTGTACTTTGTTAGAAGTCTTTGAATTTATGTTGTGTGTGATCCCTGCTATTTAATGCGCAGTATTTAATTCTGAGATTAATTTATTTCGTACAGTAATTGGAAATTATTTTGAAGTCTGAAAGCATGTTCAGGATGTTTGAAGCAGGATTCATTTAGTGATCTATCTCATAGCTATAGTGACAGGATGATTGGGACATGAATACTCAACAGTCAATACCAAGATGCCTAAAGAAGTAAATTTAGTTGTAATCTCAGTGTTCTGACTATTCTAGGCTGATACAGGGCTAAAGATAGTTGCATCATTTCTCTCTAGTGTGCTTAAAGACCAGGTGACTTGCAGTCAAGAGGCCGGAAGGATAAATCAATCAATCTCAAAAGCAGATTGGGGGAAAAGAGTGCTTACCAGACCAAAATGAATTACCAGTATTTAGAATGCTTTTTTTCCCAAGCTGATGTTTTTATCCAGAATTTTACACATGCTGAGGACAACTCCCATACTCAACCCTTCCACAGCTTGTATCTCCAGTGTTTCATAATGGGCAGCCAGGAAAGGGGGAACCTGGAATTAACAACTCCCCATGAAAACTTTGATACAAGACCTAAACCTGGCATTAGACACACAGCCTGAGGCAGATTTGGGGGCAGAATCCCATGCTCCAGGATGAGTATATATCTGCTATGAACAATATTCAGACCATCTCTATTTCCCTGCAGGCCACTGCCTACTTCATGGATTTGAGTTTCTGTCATTTGAGATAATTTAGGTGAGGAACTCTATGGAGAACATTCTTCTCCAGTATATTTCATGGTTCTTTCCCTGAAAAGGGCAGAAGAGAGACTGTGGGGTTGTGTAGAATTTGCTTAAGTCAGTTAAAGGAAGAGAAAATGTCATCAAATTACACATTCACAACAAGGCAGATTCCACTGTAGCTCTTCCTAAGCTCTCGAGTCTTGGGCTTTGCAGCCTTATGGATAGTTTATGTGCAACACAGAGAGCCAATAAACTTTTTCAATTTATCCTCGATTTGCTGATACATTGAAGGTAATATCTTGAAATAATAATATAGGTCTTGAGTCAGAGCTGCTATGAAAGAGGCAGAAAGACATGAAGAGTTTAAGGGATGAGCATTGAGGTGGATTTTATTCACAGCTATAACTAACTGTATCTCTGCAGTGTTTGAAAACTAAAGTCATAACAAGACCATGGGTAGTAGAGAAACATATCAGCAAAAGTTGGTCCCTCTGCCAAAGTGCTTACCACATACATGGGTGCCCACAGATGAACTCAGTCATGCACCCCAAGGCAGTTAGGGAGTGCACTGAGGCCATGCTGGTCAGAGGCAAGAACTACTTCACACATAATACCTCATAAAAGCCTACACAAGATTGATTCTTCCCTGGCAATGCCACATTACTATCATTCTTCCTTTGCTCATTGGTCACAAACTAAGAGAAATTACTAGACATAGACTATCCAGGAGACCAAGTAGAAGGGTATTTCTAAATAGAAAAGTAATTTTAACAACTGGCATCCGAAACTCAGTATCTAGAACACAAAAACATTTTATGTAGGAAAGAAAAAATTCTCTAGATCTAAAAGTTGCTCTGTTCTTTCTTAACAGAACTCTTCAGAAGGACAATGAAGTCTGCATTGTATTTGTGTTTGTTACTTCTTGGACTTCAAGTCCAGGGTCAGCAGCAGGAGCAACAAATACTCCATTCCCCAGAAGACCAGTCCCAGGCTGAAGGAGAAAACCTGCCTCATGTCAAGATAGCCTCCAGCAATGCTAACTTTGCATTTAGGTTTTACAAGCAGGTCAGAGAGGAGGCAGGCAACAAGAACATTTTCTTCTCTCCTTTGAGCATCTCCACTGCCTTTGCAATGCTGTCCCTGGGGGCCAGATCAAACACACTCAGAGAGCTACACAAAGGCCTTTTCTTCAAGCAGACAGAGATGGAGGAGCAGGAGATACATGAAGGATTTCAGCATGTCCTGCAGCTGCTGAATGACCCTCATCGAGAAGTCCAGTTGAACATGGGCAATGCCCTGTTCATAGACAATCGACTGAAACTTCTTGAAAAATTTTTGGATGATGTCACAAATTTTTATTATTCTGAAGCTATTTCTAGTAACTTTCAAAATTCTCCAGAGGCTATAAAGGAAATCAATAAGTACCTGGAAAGAAAAACACATGGCAAAATTGTTGATTTAGTTAAGAGTCTTGATCCGGCCACCATGATGGTTCTTGTTAACTACATTTTCTTTAAAGGTGAGTGACAAACATGAGTAGCAGTTATACACATAAGCTCTGGAAGTTCTAAGAAAAGTAATTTTTTTCAAATTGTGAACCTATCCTATCATTTAATTTAAAACACATCTTTCTATTTTTAAATTATATAGCTAAATATTTGAAAGCCAGGTATGAAAAATCATTTTCTATATGAGGAAAAAAAAGAAAAAAATAAAAGAACTGATTAATGTCATATCAATTTTAAGCCAGGTTCAGAGCTGAAAATATTCAGAAAATACGAGCTTGGGAACTTATGATCATGTGTTGAAAACCACAGGTTTCTGTGCCTTTCAACTGGCTATGCAAAACATGGTCAAACATGGATGACACTTGCAAGGTTGGAGTCCGTGAAAAATTTACCATTGCTTTAACAGGTAGAGGCTCATCTCTTTTCTATGGCAACCCTCCACCTATATTTTCTTGTGTGATTTTTATTAAAACCATTGAAAGGATGTAAAGTTTCTTTCCAAAGCATCCTTAAACTGAGATAGGCTTGTTGCTGCCTCTACTGTTAAATTACAACATTTTAAGCATCAACTAATGTTACATGCCTTTATTAGTCTCTTTTTTGAATTCTGTACTCATTCTATTGTCAAAAGGTTCCTGGGAAAAACCTTTCAACAATTTGAACACGAGAGATCGTGACTTCTTCTTGGATGCCAACAATTCTGTTAAGGTCAAAATGATGCATCAAGAGAAAGCCTTTAATATTCACAGGGATGAAAATTTGTCTTGCTGGGTAGTAGAAATTCCATACACAGGAAATGTTACTTCATTGTTTGTCCTGCCTGAAGAAGGGAAAATGAAACAGGTGGAAGATGCTCTACTGAAAGAAACAGTGTCCAACTGGATGGAATCACTTAAAAAAAGGTAATATTTTAATTGTGGCCTTGCTTAAATATTGAACAGGCCAAAACTACTCATCTGGGAAAGGTAAAGCTTAGGATGTGACAATGAATTGCTAAGCACAGCTTTAAGGAACAAGCATTGCTTAGTTTCTTTAACTCAGGCAAGGTATCGTGATTTCATAACTAAAGGCAACCCTCTCCTCAGCCCCCTCAGTCACAGCAGTGAGAGTGCTACCAGTTGTGAGGATCCTGCACATGGGTACATTGCCCTCAGGAACTTGCCTTCAGTAGGAAGAATCCAGTTCAAAAGAAAATACAATTTATTTTTCTTCAGTCTGGATGATACTTTCCAGCCAGTCGCTTTCCTAAACTATAACTCTGTCCCTGCACCACTGATCAGGCTGTGGTTGGTGGGATAGGTACCTCGGTTTCTGCTTCTCTAACATGGGATTTATCTCGCTCTTAGGAAGCCAAGCCTTAGCTCGACAGGTATTTGGGATGGGTGTATACCTGCCACAGCTATCGCATCAAGGAATCTTGCAATAACAAACTCACATTTTTCATTTATTTTTGGAAAGAAAAATCTACCTGGACCTTCCAAAATTCTCTGTCTCTGGCTCCTATGATGTTAAGAGCTTGTTTGAGAAAATGGGTATGACAGAGGTGTTCAGTGACCAGGCTGACCTCTCTGGAGTGGCAGAAGAAACCCTTCTGAAGGTTTCCAAAGTAAGTATGCAAACAGAGATGGTATTATGTATATAGCTTTTGTTATCTGAGCACTTCAGAATTTATATGGACAACAGACTTGTGGCACCAGGATAACCCCATTTCACAAACAAGAAACGAATATACAGATAAACAAAATTATTTCTCCAGTGTCCTACGGGATATATGCTTTGTGTCCTGAGGGAAGTGATCCTTCCCCTCTATTCTGCACTTGTGAAACTACCTCTGGAGTACTAAACATCCAGTTTGGGGCTCCCCAACACAAGGGACATGTGAACACATGGGAGCAGAGTGAGTCCAGTGGAGGGTGAGTAGGATGGCTATGTGGCTGGAGCACTGGATGTATGAGGAGAGGCTGGAAGACCTAGAGTTGCTCAGTCCAAAGAAAGGAAGGTGAAGAGGGGGTTCTTGGCACTGGCTACAGATACCTGTTAGGAGGGTGCAGAGAAGGTGGATACACAATCTTGCACAGTGATATGACAAGGGGCAACACACACAAGATAGAAAATAGGACATTCTGATCAGATATGTAAAAAAATTCACCACGAAGGTGATCAAAAACTAGTATGGGTTACTTAGAGAGTCTGTGAAATTTCCATCCTTGGAAATATTCAAATCCTGACTGGATTAGATACAGTGTATCTAGTGTGAGAGGTGACACAGTGTTGCATTCAATGGCCTCTACAGGTCCTTCCAGTATATATTGTTTAATGACTTGGTAATTCCTCATAATGAATAATGTCTACATATGGACATCTAGATTATAGATACAGGACAGGTAAATAGAGGAAGAGTAGCAGGGACTCATGAGAGGAAATTTTAGATGTGCTATGGACAATGAAGGAAGAAAGCAGAGGGCTGACCAAAGACAATAAAATAAGATCACGTGAATTCCTAAATATGAATTTGCTATACTTCCCATAGAAAGCCCTGTAAAGTCTTATCTGTGGGCTATGTTACAGAAAGAAAAACTATAAAGCTTGTCACTATTGTGCCTTTGCAGTAAAGAATTTTTTTTGCATACACAGAAATTGATGCAAAATGAAAACTTAATTCCATGTTCAATACTAAGGACAAAATCTTACTCTGAGAAACAACAGAACAATAAATATCCTCTATGTTGCTCAGTCTTTGCAAGCAGCCAAGTTTGACTCCAACAGAGTGTTGAAGAGAATTCTCCCTGAACTCAGAGCAGACTTTGCTTGTCTTGGAAGGGCTGGATGTTAGTATTTTTTCACACAAGTTCTACATTTATTTCTGTGATTTCTTTTAAAGATTACCTTCTCACAGTGTTAAGGCAAGCAATTTTTTCCCCGGCTGGTTCCCTGTCTTGTCTACCTACATAATAATTTTTGCTTTCCTTCCAGGCAATTCACAAGGCCACGGTCGATGTTAGAGAGAATGGCACAGAGGCTTCTGCAGTGACCATGCTAGAAATAACACCATTCTCTCTACCGTTTCCTCCTCCACCTCGCATCCATTTCAACAGGCCCTTCCTGATCATGATTATTGACAAAACCACCCACAACATGCTCTTCATGGGGAAAATTGTCAACCCAACTGCTAGGGAAGACTAGGCCAGAGCACTTGTACCCTCCAGTGCAGAGAAGAAAGCTTGTGTGCACCCCAGGAATTTCTTTGTAAGATGGGACTAGAATTGATCTGATACTGAATTAATAAATAAATAAATATTATGTCAAGTTTTTCTTTACTTCAAAACAGACAGTTGGGTACAAACATGAGTAGACCACTTTTACAAAATTACTCAGGCCAAAGAGGCAGCTATGGGATCTTCAACAGACATTTTCCATGCACTTATCACTGCTGTCAGGGTTTTTTGTATGCAGATACAGCTTCCTATTGCTGGCTGAGAAACTCCCAATGCTTCCCATTCCCATCTTCAGCTCTCAGCTCACAAACCCCAAATCTATCCCTTTCAGCTGAAAAACCATCCTTTCCTTCCTTTTCATTCCACTGTGAATCCCAGCAGAAGTCTCCTTCACCTTCCAGGGCTCAATGGGTAAGAAGGAAAACAGAGACATAGACCTATTAAACTTTCCCTCTCCTAGGTGGTGGATGCTCCTTGGTAAAGAATAAACCTCTTTCTTCCAGCTTGGCAACTGCCTCCTACCAGCTCCAACCCTCGCTCCATTTCTCATTCCTCAATTGTTACTCCAACCCTCGCTCCGTTCCTCATTCCTCAATTGTTGCTCCAGAATAAGGGGCCAAACTTTTCTGGTAGAGCAAGAATTTAGCTTTTGTGTCTATGAAAGTTGAATATCTTAGTTCAGATTATCATCCTTAATAGTCTTGTGCATGCACAGTAAAGCATGGGATCCCTAGGAGAACAGGATTTGGCAAAACCCAAACAGAGAGTTTTGTTTGGGGGTCATGTCTCCATTGTCCACCTGCCAGCTGATCCTGTTCACCTCCACTTGCTTCAGCAAGCTCAGGCTGATCAGTGCTTCCAAGAGGTTTCTCACCGTTAAGCTGATGTTGAGGGTACAGAAAGGTGACTTGGACACGTTCCTGAGTGCTGAGTAGGCAGAAGCCAGTGTTACCAGCAGCACCATGTGATGGAGAGCTGTGTTGCAGTATTAAATTTAATTAATTAATTGGCAATTAAAAATAGAGTAGGATAGTAATAAACAAAGATATAATTAAAAACACCTTCCCCCCAATCTGCTTCCTTCTTCCCAGGCTCAATTTCACTCCAACTCCTTTACTTCCTCTGAGTAGCAGAGGAAAGGGGGCATGAGGGTATGGGAATTGCAGTCAGTTTACAAAGCTTTGTGTCTGCTGCTCCTTCCTCCCAGTCTTCCCCTGCTCCAGCATGATGTCTCTTCCATATCCAACAGTCCATGAATGCTCGGGCATGGGTCTTTCCTACAGGATACAATCTATCATGAGCAGACTGGTCCAGCATGGACTCGTCTCCATGGGGCTGCAGTTACTGCCAGGACTGTCTCCAGAGCTGGCTCTCCATAAGCTGCAGCTTCCTTCTAGGACCCATCCACTTGCTCTCATGCCCCTCCAGGGCAGCAAGCGGTGTGGGTTTCTGCTCCACCACAGTTGTCCATGGGCTGCAGGGGAACATCCTGCCTCACCAGGGTCTTCTCCAGGGACTGCAGGGGAATCTGTGCTCCAGCACCTGGAGCACCTCCTTCGCTTCCTTCTGCATTGACCTGACTGTCTGTGGGGCTGCTTCTCTCACTTGTTTTTTGAGTTCTCTCTCTCAGAGCTGCCACACAATGTTTTTTCCCCTTTTCTCAAATATGCTTTCCCAGAGGTGCCACCATCTTGGCTGAGGGGCTCAGGTGTATTCTGTGGTGGGTCTGCTAGAGCCATCTGGAACTGGCCCTTTTCAACACAGGACAGCCCTGACCTCTTCTCACAGAGGCCACCCTGCAGCCCCCTCTGGTAGCACCTCTGCACAGACACCCAGTACACAGAAACCCCATCCTCATGTGAGGTTCACTATGGATAATGCAATTTAATGAATGGGTAGAACACTTTGATGGTGCTAATGAACTGCCAGGAGCTCTGGTTAGGCTCCCTTCGCAGTGTCCTCTCAGCATCAAGAGCTGGAGGGCTCTCCTCAAACACAGCCTGAGCTGAGCGCCACTCCCTCCCGCCCCAACTCCACCTCTGAGGTTTCCAGCCTCAGCTCTGCTCTCCTCCCTAGGAAAAGCTGGAATTAAACAATCCCCTGAGCAAGCCTGGGGCTCCCTGGCACTGCTGGAGGGCTGTGGCTTCTGCATAGACTGGGTCAGAGCTGCTAAATCCTTCTCCCATTGTGGTTTGGTTTGGGAGAGCCCTGACAGGTCATACGGCTGAGAGAAAACCATAGTGTGTGTATTTGCAGTGAAAGACAATAGAGCCTTTCATGTGAGCAAGCACAGATCTTTTCCCTGTCCTATGGGCAAAAAAACCCCAACCTCTAGCCAACCTATTCACACAGACCCAAAGACTTGCTTAATGAAAAATATTTTCTCTATAATCAACCCCTTGTCTCCAGAGTTTAAAGACAGAAACCCAGCAATGCTCCATGGAAAATCTGAGTCACCTATACCTGTCTAGCTCATTTTATCTCCCAGGAAAATAAAATCAATTGTTTCAGCACTGCTTGAAGGGGCAAACCTCTGCTGTCGGAGCCAAGCCAAGGATTTCAGCGTTGCACAGCACTGGGCTGCCAAGCTACAAGTCTTTTCATCCACAGCTACTAATACAGCTTGCCCAGTCACTGCTCCCCTGCTTTGGGAGTGGTGAGGCTTAGGGGAGCAGTTAACTGTGTGCTACTTGAGACATGTTAGAGGGAAGGCAAGAATAAGAGTAAATAGGAAACTGTTCATATTGCCTCATTGCTTCCCTCCCGCTCTGCCCAGTTCTGGAAAATGAAACCCAGGAACAACTCCAGTTTTGCTGTTTAGTAGTAAGTATCTGAAATAGAAACCTTTGTAAAAATTCTTAATTATCTCCTTATCAGAACTGTGAGATTTTCTTATGGAAAATAGTGCAAGTTTGCTCAGTTCCTAAAAGCAGTTCTTTGAGGGTAGAAAAATTATTTCAGCTGAGAAGATGGGTCCCAGCTATGCTTTTGTAACTTCCCTGCAACTGCAAATAAGAAAAACCACTCAAAAAAGAAGTTTTAAAAGGCAGACCAGTGATTTCTCAAATAAGCAGTTAAATCCAAAGACTTTGTTGGAGATTTATATGGGTTTTGGAAAGGGGTTTAAAGACTTGGAAGAGAACAGGACTGTTGAGCTGATTTGCTCAGTAATTTTAGCTCCATGGTGGAGCTAGGGGGAGTATAGCAAGAACATGATGATTTAACAGAAAAAGTGAAAGGTTTACAGATGTTTGGAAAGTCTGCCATAAAACCAAAGGCAACACAGTGGCCCAGCTGTAGATATCCTGAATCAGCTCTGGCTGAAACTGAAATTCTACCAAGAGGAAAACAAATCACCCTGGGCCAAGATAACACCAGCAGACTGCTGAGCCTTCATGTTTTCTGGAGCAACATGGAAAGAAGAGGGGTGAGAGAGTAAAATCTCTCTGAAGAAGACAAGGAACCCTTGGCCACACTCCAACATCCCGATACTCCTCGCACTTAAGACATACTGACCCAAAGGAAAGAAAACTTTGAGCCAGCACATAGAGTGGACTGTCCATGTGTTGTGCCCCTGTGTTATCAGGGGATAACTAGCCTTGCCTTGTCCTCCACCAGAATAACACCTGCAGGTAACTAGCTAAAATCTTAAGGATAGGGATTTTGATCCTTGATGATTTCTTTTGTTAACTGAAACAGTAGCATCTACCCCTACTGTACTGGAATATTGGGCATACAGCATCTGTAAGCATATTGACAATTAAAACTAGACTGCATTAACTTTGCAAGCTTTTGCCTCCATTTTGCATAGATTTTGACAGCCAGGTCTCTCTATGCCTTCATTAATCATCTATCTCTGCTACTTTTAGTGTCAAGGCCCTAGCTGAGAAGGCATTTCTGAAGTGCTCAGAGGCAGCAATGCCGTTGCTGAAGTCACAGGAAACCTGACCCAGCACTGCCTACAGTCAGCCATAAGTGGGGATGGAAGTTATCTGAGCAGTGCTTATGTTTTGTATTTCCAAACAGTCTGACCTGACATCCAGCAATTTCATGGTTTTTTAGAATCAACAGGGAATGTTGTAAGCAGCAAGCTATCATATTTGAAAAACAACATATTGCACTTGAAAGTTACTGTAAACTCTCTTGATTTATTTGAAATGCACCTATTGAAATAATAACCATAAATAACCCCAAATCAGAAAGAGTTTGAAAAAAAACCCCACCATGAGTTGCCCTTGGCTAACATAAAATCATGTGTTAAAAGTTTATTACAACAGCTTGTTAGGTTGGAGTCATTTTCTGTTCTGGATCTCTCAAGTCCCTCTCTTCTGCAGGGTTGCAGTACCCCCCAGTTTGCTAAGGTATCTCCTTCACAACTGCCTTGCAAGGAAGGAATTGCATCTGGAGATCTCAGGTCTATGTGTGTTAAAGGAATTCCATAAGACTGTGGAAAAGACCAATGCACTTGACTTCCTTGCTTGGAGAACCAGGTACTGCTACCCCACTTGGCATGTGTTATTTCCAGTAACACCTGGAGCTCCTTGGTGGTTGAGAATTCAAGCAAAGAATTTCTCGTGAACCCTTGGGAAAACTTCTGGCTTAGCCAATAGCTATTATATCCACAGTCAAGTGAATTTTCTTGCCAGCTATATTTCTTTGAAGATGTGCCAGTACAGGCAGTGCTGGGGCAGCTTGTGTCAAAGGGACACATCAGGTTTTTAGTCTTTTAAAACTGTAACTCCTTATAGGTCTGTTAATGTTTTCCATGAAACTTGTTAGTCCTCATTTGTGAATCTGTGAGCCTTTAGGCAAGTACATCACATTTACATTAAAATTTTGCATACCTACGTGCTGTGTGGAAGTCAATGGGAGCTATAGATATGTATTGATTGTCTGTTCTGCAGATAGCATTTAAATAATGCTCTGAAAAAGGAAATAGAAATCCACAATTTCTGTCTGATATAGGAATACAGCCATTCTTTCTAAATCTCTGCAGGGTCTGTGACATTCAGTCACATACAATGCATTTACATTGCCCTTTGTTCAACTCTCATTCAAGAACAAAGTGCCATAAACAGAGCACTATCTATT